TTCCTCGCATGAAACAAAAGCACCTAAATAAATATGACGTATTTTGACTGACAATATTCATCATCATCATCAGGTCTCGGACGAGTACTCCCAAAAAGGAGTTCTCCATCTGTTTGCTGAACCAAACAGATCGCATTGGACTTATTGGTAGATGGCACTCAGAAGAATGTCACAACCGCCCGTTATGCGTCCACCTAATGTCTATCTTGAAGATGACATAAGGCTGTAGATACAGAGTGGTCTTTGTGTATATGCTATTCTAAAGGGAAAGAAAGGATGAGAATATTGATAAATTATTGTTGTTAGTCTTTAATTGTAATTAACTCTGACCATACTTTTATTTAGTTTTATATGTTTAATAAATTTTATATAATTTTCCACATGATATAAATGGGCTTGATGTTCATTAATAATAGGGTTACCTAAGCAGTGTCGTCTATGTATCGAAATTGCTGGGCATTCGAATAAGATGTGTGATACCGATTCAGGGGCATTTTTGCAATATCTGCAACCTGGATCTAGTCTTTTACCAATCATAAATAAGAATTTATTGAGACAGCTGTGTCCAGTTAATATACTTATGGCAATTCTAAGATCACTTTTCGTTAGCTTTTCGTTGCTCTTTAAGCTTTTTCTACTTTAGTTCTAAAATTATTCAAATGCTTCGAATTCTGTATAATTTATTTTATTTCAGTTCCAAATTCTAAATTATTTTACCATGCATAGTCAAAATTTGATTATATGTAAATTTATCACATCATAATTTCATAAATACAATACCTCAAACTTTATTAATCATACCACCTAATGATGAACACAAAAGATCTGCAACTACAATTAATCTGTTGATATTTTGAGGCGTCTCTGCTGATTCGTTAATACAATTATTATCCAACATTCGCAAAACATCCAAATGTAAAGGTCGAAAGGCATTATATGGAATTGACGCAAGTCTATTAGAATTCAAATTGATCACACGTAATGATGGCGTGCGAGAGAATGCGTTCATTTCAATGGTTTCGATTTGATTTCTATGTAACCATAAATATTCTAAATTGTGGAACTGCTGTAGTTGATTATTATTAACAGTTGTTAGTTGAGTTCTAAACATGTTAAAGAATTGAATGTTCTGGAAAAAATTGTCAATTCCAGATGGTACTTCCGTCAACCAATCATTGGAAAATCGAATAGCAACAACTTCCGAATCATTTTTGCCGTCCAAATGTGTTCCAGTAATGCCCGTGATGTTAGCGATATTTACATCTGTTGGAAGTGATCCTGAGCAAGTGTATACGTATACCCATCCAACTGAACCACCCATATAGTGATCAACATATTGGAAGTTACAAGTCACTTCTACCGATTCGGAAAAATGAAAAATATTAACCGAAATAAACAGCAACAAAATTATTGCGAAGACACTTCTCCTGAAAAATATTCAATATAAAAAATAAATTCAAGGAAACTGAAGAAAATCTCACATTGCAAACCAATTAACAAAGTTTCACTTTTAAAGCAGAAAATCAAAATGCTGAATAAATATTGCTCGCTCAAACCTTTTATATCAGCGATGATTTGTCGTATAATCAGGCTTCAAAATGATAACATAAATAAGGAAATATTTGATAAAAATTTTACAGTCTGGGTGCCGCATGATTTGACAAAAGCTCATAAATCACAACTTTTTATTAAAGAGAATTGCAAATCAATTTTTATTTTCGTCAATTGCAACAACTTTCATCCGATCTTATCTTAATGATCGTTTTCAAAGAGTGAGAATAAGAAGAAATAATTTTTTTTTCCTTCGGTCACTTCGTTGAATCTTCAATAACTTCAATAACAATTCATTTTGGCTTACCTTAGATAACAATTTTATTTTTATTAAGATTAAAAAATTCATCACCATAAAAACGTCAAACGTGATGCGATAAGATACATAATCAGTCGCGGGTTCGATTCCCGTTGGAAACAAAAATAAGTGATACAGGTTTTCAAGTCAGTTGAAACAACACTCACGTTTCGAAAATATTCTGCCGTGTTTCTCATAATCAGTGACTGTATTAATTTTTTGAAATTCCCGTGTATACTTTTTGCGCGATCTTTGATCACCTTCTTTCTACTATTATTATAAATTAAAATGGGTTCGTAAAATTTGCTTTCAAATAAAAATGATCAACACAGAGCTTTTTGGATTAAACAAGATCAGAGAAGAGAGAAGGGGAAAGCTCGAAATGACAATTTCTCGATACCCCCTCAAATACCATTGAAAGCTTTCCTGAAAAAAAGCTTTCATAAAAGTTTCTCAAATAAATAAAAGAAAACAATCCGAAAATTATAAAGTGAAAAAGATAATTTCTCATGGTTTTTATTTACATAGATAACTTTGGTATGAAGTGTGATGTAGTGTGAAAACAGTGTCAATGTTTATTCTTTTCTTCATTTTCAAGAATCTTCGCATGCTTCAATATTGAAGTTGTCAAATCGTCAAAGTTTTCTGGAACAATAGAAGCTTTAAATAATTTGACATTCGTTGAGTTGGTGCCGATTGTTTCAACACTCGCAGGCACATATTCGTAACCGGGTGTCGAGGGTTTAACATCATAAATTCTCTCACCATTTACTTCCAAGCTTATCGAAGTGCTCAAACTTTTCAATGTGATTGGTTCTGGTGTGATGTATGCCGGAAAGAGAGATGATCTTGTTTCTTGTGAAGATTGTTGTGAACCAAATCGTGATAGCTTCTTCCGACTGATCTTTGTCGGTGAAATTGTTACAGTTCTTACATTCGATGATGACAATAATGTTGAATTTCTTCTATTGAAACGGTTTCTGCCTCGGTAAATTTTTGATGGAATTTTTGATGATGCTTTTGTTGAGGTTTCTTCTGGAATAATTGTTGGAACAAATGTTTTTGTTTCCATCGTCGTCGTAGTTGCTAATGTATTGTTTAAAAGTACATTTTTTTGTTTCTTTTTGGGCGTCCATTTCAAAATCGGCTTTTCTGTAGTTTTCTGTGAAGCCTTCGTTCTCTCAGCAACGACTTTGTAACTTCCTTCATAGTCATCTTTGACTTTTTTATCATCAAAAACAGTTTTTTCGGTTGTTGAAGTTATGTAAGTACCAGTTATGATATCACCAACAGAACTAATTGTAGTTTGTGAGTTATTCAAGTCTTCTTCTGACTTTGATGTCGTGGAAACTTTCATCGCAGTTTTCCCATATAATTGAGTTAACTTTCTTACATCATATGATGGCGTAATAGGCCTAAACTCGTTGTCATCAAACATATTGACTTGAATGCTACTTGCTGTGCTTTCAATGGGCATTTGTTCAATTGGCGGAGATCTTAAAACATTCGCATAATTGATGAAGCGTGGCAAATGTGTTGATGAATCTATTGGAGCTTCCGTAGGTGATTGTTGTAGTAGATGTTGATGAGGATGATGATTATGATAAATTGGATCAACTTGAGAATAATAGTTCATTGTGTACCTTTCGCTTTCTTGAAATGGTTTTGACTTATTCGGTTGAATTGCATTATATGAAGTGTACTGGTTGAATAATTGTGGAGATTGTTGATGAGATAAACTGACAAATCTTGGTTGATATCGAAAATGTGAAGGGTCTTGTGGTTGAGGGTAAATTGGTTGTTGATTTGTTGGATTCGTTGTCAGTTGAATTTGAAATGGAAAAGCGCCTTGGAAGTAACCGGGCGATTGAGCGACTTGAATGAGTGGCATATCAAGTGGAATAGAAAATACCGGAACAATTGACGGCACAGGTGGTTGCGTCAACTGATGATCAGATGAGCTGACAAAGACATTGTCATTGGCACCACGATAATCAATGAAGTTTTGTTTGTTATATAACTCCGGTTTCGGTCGATAAAGATTCACTGGTATTTTGTTAATGAACATTTCTCTTGAATCAGGAAATCTAACAAGATGATGTTCATTCGCGTAGCTGTTTACGGTTGGATGGAAATTAGATTTCACCGAGTTGATGATTTTTGGTGACATGTAAAACTCTTCGTACTGAGGTCGATTTATGATTTTATGTTTTTGCTTTAATTTTTGCGGAATTGGATATTGAGAGACGGTAGGAGGTGTTGTAGTTGTTGGCTTTATACCCAAAAGACTTTGCATGAAACTATTTGGACTGAACTTCATAAAATCCGATAAACTTCTCTCAAGTTGAAATGGAAACAAATCAACTCGTTTGTTGGCAATTGGTTGGAAATAAACCGGATAGTCAGTGTCACGTAGTATGAACGTTCTCTTCATGTGACTCTTCAAGCGATTCTCCAAAATATTCTGATCGATTTGATGCTTTCCATCATCATAAATTGGAACGATCGTGAACTTGAGGTCATATCGATGATTATTATTTGAAACATCTCGATGTCTAATGCGTTCTACCATCCATAAAGCTGTCACATTTTCCAAGTATTTGTCAGGATTTGTCTGACATTTCTCATCACAACTTTCGTTGATTTGCTCGAATGAAAATGTCTCATTTGTATTTCTTTTCAACTTTCCCTTCGCAAGCACTGCAATATCACCAAAAGTTGGAGCATCAAGATTGATAAATCCAATGTAAGGTGCTTTGAAAATGGAACTTTTACTAATTGTGGGAAAGTAACGAAAATATTTCTCATTTCTCTCATAATATTTCTTGTTTAAAAATTACTTTTATTTACCTTATCTTTGAATTTGCTAAAGCTAAATTTGCAGTTTCTTTCAGTGGTTCTTCCCACGGCACTTTCGTTGATGATTCAATAATTCTATTTTTCCCACTCATTTGCTTGGGATGAAAGAAAACATATTTTCCTCCAAACATTCTTTCTGGATGAGGCGACAAAATGACATCATGAAGATCGGGTCGACCAGATGATAATTCAAACTATTTGAGATGAATCATAAATAATTTCAAAGTAAATTATTTTGATTTTCACGGAAAACATTACATGACAAAGTGCGTGAGAAATTAAAAGTTTTTGTTGTCTTGTTGAATGAAGAATTTATCATAATTGTAAATTTTGTTTCATTCAAAAGAATAATAAGAAGTCAAATTTGGTTTTTCATGAATCATTTTAACTAAGCAATAATATTGCTGATTCAACATGCAAATATCTGATAAATAAATAAACGAAAAACCACATCGCACGTACAATGAAGATTCAAATTCAACATGCACTAATTAACACACTTAACACGTGAAACGTTTAATATTTAAAAAATTCATAATAATTTTAGGGTTGTGAAGGAACTGGAATGGAACAGAATTTTACTATTCACGTAAGAAAATTATTAAATTTACCATTAAAATAACTACAAAAATATATTTCATAGAAAGCACACTTTTGATTGTCATCGTGATTAGATTTAGTTTTGGGCAAATTGTCATCTTCAATCGAGTATCACTTTCAACAATTCAAATTGTTGTGAATTTTCTTTTTCGCGAATTTCCTCCAATTTCAAGAGTGAAGAAAGATAATTTTCAATAAAACACGAGACACTAAACTCGAATTGTTTCAAGCTTGCTTGACTTAATGCAACTAAGCGGCAAGGCAAAGAATTGAAAACAATAGTAGCAATGTAAGGTACGAGAAAATATTGTAGTGGGATGAAGACTTTCATAACTTTTGCTAATTACTTAATGCTACGTTTGTAAAAGAAAGAAAAATAGAAAGAGAAAAGCTTTCTTGTAAAGATAATTATCTGAAATAAGTGAGACTTACTTAGATAGCTGTGAGTCTTATCTTCTAAAAACGTTTTTTCTTTCCCTTTTCAAAGAAACGTTTTACGGTTTCAACAGCTGATGCACGACAAAATTCAACGTTTTTATCACATCAACGTCTTCTTAGTTTCATGATTTGAGAAATTTACATTTCACAAGTTATTAAAAAATAAATCAGAATAAAAACTTCGTTGCTTTCATTTTAATTGATTTTAGTGTCACTTTAAGCCTTTGAAAATTTCGCACATTCATTAAATGTTTAAAAGAAAATGCAAACAAACTTCATTTACTCATCGATTGCTTAGAACAAGCAAAAAAGGTTTTGAAATTAACGATTTCAACCTATAACGTGATGTTCTCGGTTAAGGTGAAATATTTATGCTGAAATTCGTTAATGAAAACATGAAAAAAGAAACCATTCTGTTTGTCATGCATCGATAGTTGCGTGGCTATGATGAGGTTTGTTTCTTCGTTTCTACTTCAAGACAATTTCCTACTGCAACGCCCTAAATGCGGAAATTGTTATGTATGAAAGAGGAGAATGCATCATGAGAATTTCAACTGTTTATGAATGTTTCACATCACAACGAAGAAATATTTAAAATGTTATTGTAGGAAATTGTTTTCATAATATGACTAACACGCATTGCGACGATCTTGAATTGTTTACATAATTTCAATGGTGAAGGTTTCTTAATCATTCATGTTCACATCTTGTAAGTCTGAAACGAAAAGATAATAACAAAAGAATTCTTCTAAATATACTTCTTAAAGTTTACCAAATTAGTTTATTCATTTTATAAAATTTTTCATACAAAGATTTGTGTTAAACTTAACTTTTAATTAATACAAAGCGACAAGTGATTCCTTCCTTGGGAATGATGACTTGTTAATACTTAAACTGATATCGATGTCTTTGTCATAATGATCTTATTTTAAAAACCTATCTTAGATATCTAAATATCTTAACATGAACAACATCAGATGACGAGATTATCATTTCGTCAAAGAGTTTTCTTGTTCACATATAGGAGTGTGGCACGTAACTTAAAGTTAAGCAATAATTTTTCTCACCTTCTTCGAAGAAAACAAACATATCTAAGTATTTTAAAAATATAAAAATAGTGTTAAACTAACTATTGACAAAATTGTTCTTTTTATCTACGTTTGTATGCTGTGTGAGTGAAGCTAATACATGAAGGAGATTTTCTGATTTTCTAAACAAACAGTCAAGAAAACTTAAGATAAAAATGATAATGTAATTAACACTAAGTTTCGCCACAAAGGAAACGAATTTGTAAAATGAACATTCTGAGGTTGTGATGAAAGTTTCATCGGAAGTGTTGATTAAACTATATTGGGGTGTCGGGGTCACGCCGTCTCATCGATCGCATCGATGCGCGGAGACTTGAAACACCATCAAATCCATCATCGTCTTTCCTTCCAATGCCTAGACATTTGCAACATGAGAAAAGACAAGCCCAAATGCATCCACTGATGAAAAAGAACACTAGCAATGTGATGAAAGTTATTGTGATCATTGCAGTTCCAATTTCACTGCTGTAACACCAACAATCGATTCCATAATAAACTTTTCCGTTAATTGTGCAAACTCCTTTTGGATTTCCATCAGGTTGGAATGGAAATTGTTGAGCAAATATCGTCACAAAGAACAAGGAAAGCACAAAAGTACAACTGAAAACACAAAATTTATTTCACAATTAATTTCATTGTTAAAATTTTCCTTCAATTTTTGTTTTACCGTGGAATCATTTTAAGAATTTATTTTTATTTAATATCTTGAATGTTTAGATTGAGAAATATTAAAAGTTATGAACACTTGCACTGAATGAAGTTTATCAAGTCACTGAACGTAAATGATATTTTATTTCGTCGCCTTCTTTTTTATGAATTGTCAACTTGCAAGGTTTCACCACCGCGTTCTTCACGTCTTAGTAGCTTCAATGAAAGCTTTACACTACGAGCTTAAAGATTTTTCAAAAACTGTATGGAGAGTGTAAATATAAATTGATATATCTAACACGATAACACTTAAATCTTATATGTGACAACTGATATTGTGCAAAGTTGATGACGAACTGACCCTTTTTTGAAATTATCTCGCGATATATGTGTTTGCTTGTTCAAGACGTTATGTTGAATGGCAGTCAATACTTGTGCTACGCCCTGAGAGACAGACACTCTGACAAAATACTTCCATTGACTCACAAATTCATACAAAATGTGATAATTGGCCCGGCAAATAAAACAGTCATTGACAAACGCTAATTACGCGTCTTCGCTTTTGAGTCAGATCGACGCTTGGCGATGCTGTTGATGATTTTCATGATAAAAACTTATTTTGTTCTAGGAAGAAAATGTCATGACATATTCGTCACTTTCTCTACGTAGTAAATTGTTCAGTTAATCCAAGTATGTAAAATGTTTTCACTTTCAAAACTGCCGTCAATGAGAATGATTTGAGAAGATCATTGGATCAGAAGATTACCTTCAAAGTCGTTTCAGACTCACTTTTCATCATGAAAATAAATTCAAATACACTAAAAAAATGATCCCAAGCACATTTTGGCAACAATTTGTTACGAGAACAATGAAAAACATTTAATAACCGTGACTTAGTAAGTTGTTTACTTCGATACGCGTAACACATATGAGATGATAAAAATTATTCAAATTTCACTTCACTTGAAAGTGAAGACGAGAAAAAACATTTTTTTTAGTTTTATTTATTAAAGTTTTTCATAAATTTTATTTATTTTAAATCGTTTGAATATCAAATTATAAAATAAAAACGACGAGAGTCTTAAGAAGAGAATCATTCTGAATAAGCTAAGTTAAAATTATAATAAATTTCACAACAACGATAATGGAACAGTGAGCGTTGTATTGAACTACTCGATGAACTTTTAATTATTCCACACATGCGTTTGTCGTCTCAATGAATGTCTCGATGAATGCAAGCTTGCCCCTTCGTAATCTCTCCTACGGAATAATCTTTTATACGTTCTGAATATGCACGTCCAAATGCATCCACTCAAGAAGAAGAAAGCGATAAGGATGATGAAGACGGAGAAGAGTAAAACAGAACCGGTGCGACTTGTATAACACCAACAATCAATTCCATAGTAAACACGACCATTGATTGTGCAAACTCCTTTTGGATCTCCCCCTTGTGGTTGTTTCGGAAACATCTGAGCATAACTCAGAACAAGAAGTGAAGAAAATACAAGAAAAACACTGGAAATAAACACGATCACAATATTTTATTTTATTAAACAATTTAATTAAGTTTCTTACCGAACCGACATGATTGTAACAACTTCAATTGAATATTTTATTTCTTTTCGTTTTTATTTAATATTTTATCACTTTATTTATTATTTTTTATCGTGAGATTTCAGAACTAGTAAGAAGAATATTCTTCAGCTAATGATCTTTAACAGCGACTGATAAGCAATAAATATTTTTATTTCGCAAAAGGAACTCTGCTTACTTGCTTGGTGTTGTATGAAGATGTGACGAATGATTTTTTGCACCCTCCAACGACAATCAAATGAATACATTCAATGACTCTATCCTCTCACTAATTCATACATAAGGTGATAATTACAATGACACATTCATCTTACTTATTTCTACAGTGGAATTGATAGATTTTTGGCGATATCTGAATAAGTATTTCTGAAAACTTTTCAAATGATAAAACGTATCTACTTAAGAGAAACTTTTTTCGCATGAAAACAATCAATGAATCATTCTGCTCAAACAACATGACTTCATTTGTAATTACAAAATATGTTAATGTAATTATTCATTTATTTTATTTTAAAAGCGAAGACCAGCATCCATAAGTTACATGAGTTTATGTTTTTTATTGAATGCTGACTTGGACAATGAGATACACTTATGACTTTTACAATCGTCTTCTTATGAATTTTTATGCGCTTTTCTGAGAAGATGTAACTAAACGAGCTATAAGAAATTTATTTGACCTTTTACTTAAAAACTATCAATTAAGGAATTATTAATTAAAAATTAGTTTCGGGGCTCGCTTTTCTCATTGATCTCACTGATGACCTGACACTTCCCACATCTGCTTCATAGTCTTCTTCCTTTCGTCCAAACATTTTCTGATGACATCTGAAGATGCAAGCCCAGAGACAACCATTGACAAAGAATAGAGTTAGCAGCGTGAAGAAGCTGATGGTTAAGAAAGTGGAGCCGACAACGTTGCTGTAGCACCAACAATCGAAACCATAATATGCTTGACCATTGATCGTACACACGCCTTTATGATTTGATCCTCCATTGATTGGATATTGACCATAGCCAGGAAAATATTGGCCGCTTGTTGTCATCGCCAAAAACGTTAGAAGAAACACGCAACTGTAAGCACAAAAACATTTTAGAATTTTGCCGATTTTAGGACAAACTTCAAGGAGATTTTACCGAGCAAACATTTTAGTTTTTATTATCAAATTTTTTTATTTTCAAACACTCTTGTTGGAGTTTAACACGTTACTGAACGCGCCTAGATAACTTAACACTTCTCGTTTTTTCGTATTGTAAACAAAACTGTCGACAATATTCATGCAATATGGATTTAAAATTTAAAGCTCACGTGTTGACTTTTCCACGCCAATTTTTCACAAGACAGTAAAAAAATATCTTCACGAGAAAATGTTAAAAAACGTCTTAAATGTTGAGAGTCAAAAATTGTTTTTCGATAATTTTTCAGTTGAGTTTTTCTTCAATGCGGTAGGATGTGAAGTTGTAAGAAAAATATTCCACAACACCCTGCGACAAAGACATTTGCGTTAACTCCGCTCACAAATTCATACATGAGGTGATAAATGATTCAGTAAACAATGTTGTCATTGAAAAACGTTAATTAACCAAATACGCATCTCATATTCAGTTGGATAAGGTTTTTCATCTGTATCAGTTTAAGAAACTCGAATTCAAATGAATGATTCAGAGGCATTGCATGAGTTTCAAAACAACAAACTTCTTCTCTTTTATTTTATTTCTTCTTCTTAATTTTTCATAAAACATAAATAATAATTAAATTGATTAATGATTAGAACTTGACAAGTAAAAAATAAAATTGAACTTTATTAGAAATTTGATTACAAATTATTAAAAAGAAGATTGAATTGAGAATTTTTAAAACTATGATCAAGATCTTCACATGGGAATTTTAAGTAACTTAAATTTAATAACGTTTTCGGATCGATGATTTGCCTGATCGTATGCTTGCGGCGTCTAATTCAATGTCGTCATTTTTCTTACCCGTGATGCGTTTGCAACATACAAAGATGCACGCCCATATACATCCGTTGATTAAAAAGCAAATGACGAGTGTCACAATGCTTACAGTAGCGAAAGTTGTTCCAACAACGCTGTTGTAACACCAACAATCGATTCCGTAATAAACATCACCATTGATTGTGCAAACTCCTTTCTGATTTATGCTGTCGGAGTTTTGATAGTAAGAATTCTGATAAGTATTATACGAAGGGTTGAAAAATTGTGCTTTAACAGTCAACGTCAACCAGAACAAAGATAACACAAAAATGTAGCTGAAAGCAGGAGAAATTTCCGTCACACTCTTTGAACCATAAAAAATTTTAATTGAAAACTCTTACCGCGCGAACATTTTCCTTCAAAATTTTTTCTTTTCCCTCAAACACTCTCGTTGAAGTTAATCAAGTTACTAAAAAGCTTTTCGACAACTGGAAATTATTTTTTTCTTCTTCATGTAAACAAAAAGCAAGGTTTCTTCTTTGCTCACGCTTAGTCACTTCTTCAAATGAGATTTTTCTGCAATCTGCTTTGATTTGAACGTGAAAAATTGTTTGAAGATTAAGAGAAAAATTCAAAGCACATCTCTATCAACGAATAACTTCGATGTGATGTATTCGCTTGATTATCTGATAGAATAATGTGATCTAAGCTACTACGGCCAAGATAAGCTTCACATTACTATCTTGAAAGTTAAGCTACGCCCAATGAAACAGACATGAGACGAGACACTACAGCGAAACACCTTTGTACAAAATATTCCTCACAAATTCAAATATGAGGTGCTAAATGACATTTTACACAAAAAATATGAAATAAATTGCGAAAGTCTTTATCTGTCAAATATCCCTGTTGTAGATATTTGGCTACACATTGAAGTTATTGACACTCCACTTAACTTTCTTGCGTTGTTTCATTTTTAAAAAGTTGTTGTGTAAACTTCAATAGTCAAATGATGATTAAGAGTTGTTCATATTGAGAATAAAAATTCTAGAAGTAAGCAATTTATTTACATAGATCAAAGTTCAACATCAAACTGTCAAGATGAAATAAAATTAGTCACAAGAACAATTCTCTTGAAAATTACGAAAAAAATTTTTTATTCAATTGTTTCTTTTTTCATTTTTGTTGTTCACATTTCAGCCGGAAAGACACGATTCTTATATTTAAATATAGTAGATAATTTAAACATTTATCATGAGTAGCAAAAAAGAATTATCATTGGTAGTTTAACACTAAGTTTAAAGATATGTTCGAACATTACATTCGGAAAATTAATTCTCCATTCATATAAATAAAATCTAATTTATAATCATAATAAAACATAAGGAAGATGAAGTTTAATTAAGTACTTGAAATGATTTCATTATTGTACTGCAATGTGCAAGTTAAATGCATTTTCTCAATTAAAAAAATGAGATTTATTTAGCCTAATAGTAAGAAATTAAGTCTATGATTTTTGTGAGAAAAAAGCTTGGAATGCCAAGAAATTTGAGTAATTTTCCTTTCCGAATTTCCACTGTACGATAAACATTTTTCATCCTTCTTCATTCTTATCAAAAGTCCCATTTCTAATCGGAAAAACCCTCCGAAAAAAGTACTGGGAAGAGTATAAATAAATATCACTTCATGTCAAATATAAATCATAAAAATATTTCCTTAGACATTCCAAAACTTTTGTTGTTCAATTCCAAAGTGTAAAATTTATGATCAACAGAGAAAGAAGAATTAAAGATTAAAATTTCAGATCAATATTTAAGTTTGAAGATACAATTAATGTCATTAAGAACTTCTTTACTTTTTAGCTATTCAATCTCTTTTCTGCTTCTCTTCTTTGATTCATCAATCTAATGAACCATGTCAATTGATAATCTCAAGTCATGAATCAGTTGAATTGTTCATAAAACGACGCGACGCGCTAATTACAACCACCGTCACTTACATAAAAGCTTAAAACTTAAAAGTTTCTGAGTTTAAATCGATTATCTTATTTTTTTGCGTCAAAACTTTTGAAAGATTTATAAATGAGCGTTTAAGTGAATTAAGCGGTCACACGCTGGTCTCGGAATTTAATCTTAACACGAATTTATTACATTTCGGATCAACAACCTTCTCGGTTAAATTAAAATGCGGAAGTTTGTGCACGGAAACCGTCAAAGAGACATCGCTTTGAACCAATTGAAAGACGCATTTGTCAAATATCGGACGCGATAAAAGTTCATCGCAGATCAATGACCACGATTGATCATGACGTTCTTTCTCATTCTGCAGAATTGGATTTTCAACCAAATACGGTTCCAAAAATGCACGCGGTGACAAATCGTTCTTCAAGCAATGAGCGAGATGTTTGAGAATCGATTCCACAGTATGTCGCGGTTGTTGACGAGTCACACGAAGATATTTTTGTAGAGCTCTCGCAAGTGATGGGAAAACAGAAGCAGCAGCTTCATGTGAATCGAGGCTATTCAACACTGATTGATCATGGACACGCTTAATGTGTGTGAAAGCTTCTTCAGCAGCGGTTATTAAACGAGCTCTTCGTTTCTTCACTCTTCTTTCATATTCATGTTCTTCATAGAATCTTTCATTGTGCGATGAATCACGTCTACGTGCATGAGCAGCAAGAACAGCTCTTTGCGATTGTTGTTGTTGAGTTATTGCTGCTCCATCGACATCGTAATATTTGAAGCTTGTTGATAATGCTTTTCGTTGTTGTTTCGACAGTGGAATTCTTTCCAAATATGGATTATAGATGGAAAAGTCGGTGTAATATTTTTGCAAGATCCAAACAGAAGCTCTTTGAATTGATAATTGACCAATGGCGTAGCTTCTTGATTCACCATCTGGCGACCTGATTACCTTAACATAATATGTTGGCTGAAGATGACGAACTTCAAGTAGAATGACAGCAACATAATGAATGAATAATAAAGTGTCACTGAAGTTGATGGCATACGAAACGAGCGTCTTATAATTGGAAGCTTCAGTTCCATCGACAATGGCTTTAGTAATACTCTCAGTGACTTGCACGATGTAGAACAGCCAGTATGAGAAAGTTGATATGACAACTAGCAGCAAGACAATCGAGCGGAAGAGAAAAATTCTCGGCATTATTGCGGTGGGTTGTCGAAAGAAAAGCGCCCATAAGCCAATTCCAAGAAGAATCTGACGAGTTGTTAATGTCACAATTAAACCTGGAAAATGATAAAAAAATAATTATTCAGTCTGAAATATTTATGAAAGCCAAATCTCACCTTTGCATTCCGCATTGCATGCCAAAAGTTGAATTTTTGTTAGTTGATTTAATTCTTCATTTTGAAATGTTGATGGGAAAAACCCAAGCTTTGGTAGAAGGGCCATGGCGATAGGACTACAGAAGGCAGTCATACAAAATATTAAGGAAATTACTCTTTCCATATGTTTTTGACATGCGAAGCTCCCACCATTACTAGTCATGGGCCAATTATTAACGTCTTCCATTGATATGCTTTGTTCCGAGGTGTTTCCAGTTACATGAGTCTCTGTGCCCCAATTCTCATCTTGCGGAAGAATTTGCACTTCGATAACTTCTTGTCCATGTCCATCGCGGGAATCTTCTGTTGTTAAATTTACACTGGTCTGAAATGGTGCCATTTCTCGTTTATTTTTCGATGAATGATTGCTTCTGTGTGAATGTCTAGAATTTCTAACAATTCCCGAACTACGACTTCGATGAGATTTACTGCTCCTCTCCGATTTCACAGATTCTGTTTCCATAATAGATAATTGATGTTCGAAAATCGAGTCATTGATTCAGAATTTTAATCACTCATTAAAAATTTCTTTCACAATAATGGACGACGTCGTTGTTTTATGATGATATGAATGAAAATCTAGCTTTAAGCAGATATTTTTGTGTTTTCGTATGTTAAATATGTTTTATAATCACTTTAATACTACTTTATTCTTAATTTTACTGATAAAATTTAGATAATTGATTCAAACACTTAAAATAAACACAAAAATTATTCGACGTTCACTTGTCCATTAAAGATGGGCAAAAGTTTATGTTTCAAGGTGGTGAATATGTCACACCACTCAATTCTCTCTTCACCACTGACATTTAAAAGTTTGTAAGCCGTTAATTTTTTTAATCACATTATAGTTATTCATTGGGAAAACCGGTTGGAAGCAACTAATCCATCTTAGAGAAAACACCACGCGTTTTTCAACAGCATTTGTAAAATTCTAATAGATCTAATTTATTGCTTTGAAACTACATTTTATCTAAGTGACTCAAGTTTCTGAAAAAGAAGATAATAAAACACTTTTAAATTCCTCCTCAACGCACGGAATTTCCTTGTTTAAATTGTCGACATATATGAGAACGTTGTAAATAAATTATCTCTGTTAATATCTTGATTGATCATAACATGACAACAACCAGAATTTTATAATTTTCCACATTGAGTTCAATAATCTTAAATTTATTTATACGTTTTCTATTATTAAGAATCATAATTGAGACAGCAGAATTGATTCAAATGTAAAAATCACGTGTTGAAGTTAATTGCTAGAAAATCAAAGAATTATGCTAATTACCTATTTCTTCATATTATTCACAATATTTACATAAAATATGCTAACAGTAAATGTGTTTATTTAGATAATTTCAGTCTCATTCAATCACTTTTAAGACCGCAGACACTTCTGAGCTTCTCGAAAAGTAAAATCAACGATGAATCTTAAAATTTTAAGTAAAGTTTTCTGTCAAGTACACATAAAATTGCAAAGTAATTTTACCTGAAGGGCTATAAATTTACAACTGAATGTTATTGACATTATCAGGAATTCGCGATGGTCAGCAAAATAGAGTTCAATAAACTGATAACTTCACAGTAGTTTCATCATTTCAAGTTCATTTTGCAAAACATTTAGAATATTAGAATTCGGGATTTTTTTATTTAACAAGCTACGTCATTTCAAAGCTCAAATAAAATCTAACAAGTGTTCAGTGGAAATTTTTCTTTAAATGCTTATTTCATTAAGTCAACATGATCACTGAATTTGTAGATGTTTAATTTTAATTTATTAATCCGAATGACGCATATACATTTCAGATTCATTTCGCTTTGCTTTTTAAAGATCTTTCAAACAAGGAAGAAGATTTTTAAAACGAGATTTTTGATCTGAAAATAAAAAAGAATTAAGAACAGAAAGTTTTTTTTTTCTTTTTTTTATTTACGACAAATTTTTAGATTTACAGGCTTCATCTTAACTATTTAAATCTTTTTTTATTTCATAGTTGTAAAAAAGCTTTATACAAAAAATTAGCTGATAACTTCCCATAAAGTACGTTTGTTTCATTTTGTGTTTTATCTTCAATGCTTTTTTATATCCATAGAGTATATAAATAGAGGAATTAATTCTACAAGGGTTGATTTTAGCGTGTGAATGCAAAAAATAATAATAATAATAATATTATATTTATATATAAAAATTATTCCATGCTCAAAACATTTAACTCAAAAACGTTTCTTTCTCTCACATACTTTTCTTATTTCAGCTTACAACATTTGAATTTTCCTCTAACAATTTATTCTATGGCCTAACTTACACACTAACTTTCAACAAAAAAAAAAAAGATGATTCGATTGAGGGGTACTTGAATGTTGATGCAGATCTTATTGCTCTTGACCTTGATTGTTTATTCGCCGTTGCGGGAGATTCGAAGTTAGATCTTCGCCTTTAATGTAGTAGTCTGAAGCTTTATTGCTATTGATAATGCCATTTACGCGACCATTCGTATCGGCATCGTCGTTCTTTTTCTCTGAGGTTACGGAACCGTTTGCTTTTGACTGCTCCGATCTCTGCAAAAAGTGATTAGCAAAACGCTTTAGAGAATTCTGAATGGGAAAAGGAGGAGAAAAGCAAATAAAATAATGAATCATGTCAATAATGATCGCTAGAAAAATACGAGCGACTCCAATAATAAGTAAATATCAACATATGTACAAGTAAGGGTTATTGTTATCATGTTACTTTAGTTCACCTTCTTTCCAGCATAAGATTGTTTGTAGAATTCTTTGAAGAGGAAGAAGAACATAACAGCATGCATCCCGATCCACCACACGAAGGCTTTTGGATAATTGCAATCGATAAACAAAAGTTGGAAAGCGTGGAGCATGATGAGAACAAATTGAACCTAAAAAAATCAACAATGATCAGTTTCATCTAATTGTAAAAGAAATTATTTAAATTTTAATTTTCTTACCATTTGGAGACCTGTCAGATATTTCTTCCACCACAAATATTTCTGATATTGTGGTCCCATAGCGGCAAACAAGTAGTATGAGTACATCACAATGTGGACGGCTGTGTTAAGCAAGCCGAAGAACGTTGAGTGACCGCCAGGTGTGAATTTCACTCCAAACCATACTGCAAAGAATTTAAGTTGTTTATATTTGATCGTGTATTTCTTGCTAGATCCTTTGTTTAGTTTAAAAGACCTCACCTGACATTGGCATGACGCCGTGATGGATGACATGAAGTGTAGTCACTTGACTCGTCTTTTTACGCATCACAAAAAATATCTGGAAAATATTTTCGTTGTAAGTTGATATTATCAGAGAGAGATGGAGAAAAAATATTTATGTAAATACTCACTGTGTCGAAGAATTCTGTGAACTTTGAGAAGTAATACCACCAGCAAGCGTGCACCATCTGATCGTTTTCGTGTTCGCAAAAAGGGAGAAAAATGTTATTTAAGACACTTACGCAAGGTTGGATTTAAAAAGAAATTAAAGTGAAGTTACATTTCAACTCATATGCAATTGACCTAATTATGCTGATTTCTTCTTCTTTTTTAAAGTTTTGCAAAATAAGCATTAATTTAAATTCCAAATTAATATGATTTAAAAAAAAATATTATTTCGAGTAGGCAAGGTGCACATGAATGTGAAATGATCACCGCACATATGTATTCTCACTCATCACGAGTTTATTTTTGATATATAAAGCAGTTCAACGGATAAAGCTGCAAAAAACGAAACTTTCGCTTTATGTTTCGGACAAAAGCCCAAAAATTTATCTGCTTCAAAATAAACACGTGAAGAGATTGAAATTGGAAATCAAAGAAAGCAAATAAATGAAGTGGAAAGAAAAATAAATCAAAAATCTACACTCAACAAAAATTGACTCATGCAAACATAAAAAATAAAAACTATTCGATGAAGCTTGCAGACTTTTGATTAATTTTCTTTGATTTGATGGTGCAGTTGTAAAAAATATATTTTGCATTGTTAGACTATGTTGTATCACACATAAATATTTCTTTTTAATATTTTCATCATCTTTTCCTTGTTTTCATTTATTACATATCTACATTGTAAGTTACAACTTTTTTATTGTTACTTTTGAAGCTGCGATCTCTCATTAATTGCCATATAACGTGGATCATAACTTGTGATTTTTGAGTAAAATGAAAGCACCTTAATGTCTTTATTTAGAACTCAAACATCAACTTTAAGTTATCTGCTTCTGCTTTCTAAGATGTAAATTTTTTCTTCTTTTGTTTGTTCAAATTCAAAAGCAATCGTAAAATTTATTGTTTTATGAAAACTTATTTTAATCATCGGATTTATCACATAATGGACGGCAGTGACTAGTTATCTGGCTGTTTGACATTTTATCATAAGTTCACAATGCATTTTATATGCAAAAAATATTAAGAAAGAGTTTTATGAGGTTTCGCAAGAATTTTCACATTAAACTTAAAGTTTAACGAAAAAATTTGGATGATCGTAAAATCCCTAGAATTTCGGCTTCGATATGACATAATAACGAAATCGTCACTGACTTGATGAAATTGGATAATTTTTGATGTTTTTAATCGAAAGCAAAACGTGAGTAAATATTCCCAGGTAGTGGATTAAAATTTATAATTGAAGGAGATGGCAAGACTTGAAGTGATGCTGATCACTTGTAATTTTAACGTAGGAATTTCTTTGAAAAGACGAAAGTTTCGGAACTTTCTCATTTCCTGATGTTTGCTTTTGTTTCCTATGAAACAATAAATAATTGTTGATGAGCTTTTGAAAATGAACAAATTTCAAAAGATGAAGCTTGTCAAAAATGTGAAAATATTCATTAATGATCGCTCTAAGAATGGATGATTTCTCATTTCAATTAAAGTGCTTTTACTTTACTTACAGTGCATTTCGGCATTTCCTTTTTTACATTTTTATCCACCTTCCTGCCGATTTTTATTTTGTGCAGTGCGTGAATCAAACTTAATTTATATTAGTAAATTGTATCACATATTTTTGTTAGATATTTACAAATCAATTCCCATCAATATTTCTTTCATTGCATCATTTTCGAGTGCCATAAACGAAATAAAAATTAAAACAAATAAATAAAACAAAAAACCTTAGAATTAAGCAATCACCAATCCATCACATTAAAATAATATAATTTAAGTTATTTACAACATTATAAGGTTATAATTACAAATGAATAAGAAAATAATAATTAAAACAACAATTTCAACAAAAGATTTTCTAAACTAGCTAAGGCAGGAAGACCTTCAATTAATTAAAACCGAAAATTAAAATCTGATGTTACAATCTAATTTGTTCCTTTTGTTTTAAGACGAAATGGCAAATATAAGAAGGGACTAAGTCTTTTGTTAATTACAAAAAAAAGAAGAAAATAAAACACAAAAGAAATTAACTTAAATATTGAAATCTTCAACTTTGAGAAAATATTACCCTTAAAGTGCTAGGGTGATTGCTATAATCAACTGGCTGACATCGGAAATTATAATGACCTGTTAGCCAACCGGATATTCCGATCTGTAAGTAACATTATTCAAAAGAATGTTTAATCAGCATAAATTATCTCTTTTCGTTTTGAAGATTGAAGATTGAAGACTGATGCTAAAGGCTTCATGAGTGTTGAATGCTGCATGACAATATCCTGATATAAAAACTTAATTTTCATTGAATTTTCTTCCTAAATATTTTGAATTGTAGCCATGCTAGTTTTTCTTTTTAACATTTAGCACATTTTTTCTTTTCGAATATAACAAAAGACGTTCTTTTGATGAAAAATCTTGTTCATTCTTTGTTTGATCAATCAACAAGATTGATAAATGTTGTTTTTAAAGTTCCAGTCTGTCATGGATTTCATTTTAGTTTTCTCCCTTACAGTAAGAATTAAAAACTAAGTTTCATCGATTTTTCTACTGTCTGTGTTGTGTGTCGATAAAGTACGATGTCAAGCATACAGAAGTTTATTTACTTCTTGAAACTTCAGAAATTCACAAAGAATAATAAATTAACATTGTTTCAGTTAAGTTTATTCTTTGGTTAAAGAAGTGTTTATATAAATAAGGCTTCAAGCTTATTTTGTTTTTCATTCTTTTTTTGTCTTAATGATAATCATTGTTTAACCTTATAACTAAGTATATTAAATTGGATTAAATAAAACAATTCTCCTAGATGGTTCAACTCTACTAGAGCTGTTTATATTTGTGCAATTTTAATTATTAAGTATGCCGCAAGTTACACAATATATAAGTTGAACACCTTATTGAAGAAAGCCTCACTTGTTTTAAAGTGGGTGTGTTAATTACTATGTCCAACTATTTTTTTCTGATCCATCGAGAGTGCGCAGAAATTTTTACATTTTGTTCTTTGTACATTTTAAAATCAACTAAATTTGAATGTCATTACTTGAGATTTCTTTTTTGTTTCTTTTTGCAAACTCTTCATCATAAACATAACAACATCATTCTTTGAAGTTGTCTGTTACTTAAAAAATAATAATTCTTAAGGATGAAATGGTAAGCTGGTGTTAACTACAATGTACAATTTTAATGCCTCTATTCCAAAGAAACACCAAACTTACCACGTTGATCAAATTTTAGAAATAAAAAAAACTTTTTTCGGATGTTTTTTGAAAAGATGATCAAATGTAGTATAAATCTTTAAACTTGTTATTAAAAAATTTAAAATAAAATTAACCCTCGAATCTTAAACGCAAAACTTACTCTCATTGCTCGGCCTGATGTGGAGTGATCAACTGGCTGACATCGAAAACTATATTCACCCCACCAGCCACCCATTAAGCACTACAAAACATTTGGATTTATAATTTTGGGTTTTTGATCGGACAAGGTTATGAAAAGAAAAATGTTATATAGATACGGTGGATTTCAGGAAAGTTTCTTTTTTTTTCTCTCCAGAATCGTGTTTTTCAACTTTCCTAAAGCGTTATTAAAACATTCACAAAAAAATTTACTAAGTAAATTCAACAAGCAATTCGACTGCAATCATTCATGTAAGAGATGTTTAAGGAATTTCATGACAATAATGACAAATGACAAATAGTTTCAGGCATTAAAGAATGTTCTTTGCACATCCATGAAACTTTTCAAATGATTCACTTGGTTTGCAAATCTTTAATTGATCATTTCAAATTTTAATCACATTTACGTCAATTCAGTGAAGAACATGTTCGTTCTCAGGAAATTTCCAACAAAACCAACATTCAATGCATTAATTGTGTGTGCTGTGATGTTGAAATTTTTTTTCCTTAATTAAATTCAAAAATTAAAATAAAAAAAAATGTTTCGAAATATTTTTCGATTAAAGATTATTTTTTGTTTGTTGCGCTTGTGGATTACAAAAGTTTCATACCAAACTTTTCTTTTGATTTTGGAATCGTTCGATTTGATTCGCCAAGTCATTTATTTAAAACTGGATTCATTGCAGTACTTTGCCATTTATAAAATCATAAAAAATGTGTTTTTCGAAACAAACAAATCAAATTACTCATTCAAAATTAAAGTCAAGTCGCGTGTGTAATCGAATGAAGTTTACCAGGGATATCTAATTAAATAAGAACTTAATAACAGTGCGGGGGTTTCTGATGTCATGAACTATAGTAGAAAAAACACAACATGAATCGAATTCCAGTTATGCCGGTCTTTTAGGTTTTTATTTGTTTCTTAATTTGCTTCTTCTTTTTGTCTGATAAATCAAGTTCTTTAATATGTTCGATTTGATAAAGCTTATGAAACAGGTTCGTTCGCAAGTAGCTTTTAAAAACAAAATATTATCACAAAATATTCCAATTGGAAAATTTCGTAATTGAAAAAATTATTCACTGATAATTCGCCTTTCGTTGATTAGAAAAAACAATGGTTATCTAAAATGCTTTCAATCTTGTCATTGCAATATCAAAATTGTTTCTTACCTCGTAAAAAAGCCACGAACTAAAGATAACTTGGAATAAATTGTAAACTATGAGAGTATTTTTAAGCTGGAATGGTTTTCGGTTCTCCATAAGCTTTGGTCCCAGTACCTGTAACAAATTACATTTTTAAAATCTTCATTAATCAATTCATTTTGTGATTATTTTTAAGTTTAGCACCTTTACTAAGTAGACATAACCTAAACAAATTCCTAGTGTGTGGAATGGCGATGACATCATTGGCCAGTCTTTTGTGCGCGGATCTAGACGTAACAGAATTAAACAATTTCAAAAATAGTTTAAGTAAATCTTGTCAATTAGGGTGACAGGAGGAGGAAAAATATTTCAATGCTCTCGAGAAACTGCGCATTCATTAGCAGCAATTGATTTATCCAAAGATATATTTAAAGGTTTTCTAATTACTTTTAAAATATACTCATCATGGCTTTTAACTTTTAAGTGCCTTTTATTATTGTTGTTAGATATCTTTGTGGTAAAAAGATGTTTTTAAAAAAAGGTAGAAGACTATTAATGTCTGATGGGTTCGTGTCAATTGAGATGTTTTTAAATCATACAATTCTAATAAATGTCTGAAAATCTTTTGTGATTCACTAACAATCTCACACAAAAGGATCACATAAATCTGAACCTTTTAAATTAATATCTTAAAGAGAAAAAACATCTCAGTAATTATTATTATTATTATGATGAAGATATTTGTCATGTGCGAAGGTCATTGATGGGTTGATTGTGCGCACGGGTAATTAACACAAGTAAGTAATGGAGATTATTTAGTGATTTGAATGACGGTTGATGGATGTCACAAAAACTTATTTAAATGTCTACTTACCACCGTATTTATCCATATAGTGATGCATACTGTCAATGTATTTCATGATTAAGGCCATTTTTCTTTGATATACTGTGAATATTTGCAATAAAAATAAAACCGATAATTTAGTCATCAATTTTGATAAAAGAAATTTTCTTTGGAATTTTAGTTTGTTTATGCGATTTTATTTTAAAACGAATCATCCCAAAACGATATCTGAACAACAAAATAAGGTATCAATCTCATCACCATATTCATTCTTACTAAATTGGATAACAACTTTATGATTTAAGAAATGATGCTTTTGAAAGATTTTTGAAACTGTTAAATTTTCACAAAAGTCAAATTTTTCCTTTTATGCCCGTTTTTATTGGGGGCCTTTGAACCGAAATGGCAAACGAAAATTTTGCGACATTGAATATTTATTGAAATAAAATTAAAATGGAACTAATTTTAATTTACTTTGCATTTAATTCGTGCGGATGCAGACAAAACAAACTTTGAGTTGACTTTTTGAAGCTTCTAGATTTTGTCCAAAAACGAAACGAAACATTCACGAAATTTTTATGCGACCTTGCAGTAATCATTGACTGATATGCGTTGCTAAAAAATCAAGGATTTTTGAAGAATAAATGTTGATCACAGGCGTTTATAAAAATGGACTTGCACTGTAATCAGACACGGATCGAGACTTTTCCATTTCGGAAAAAAATTAAAATTTAATTTCGACCTTCACAATCACCGAATTAATCAAAATTTTATATTCTTTGGAATCTCATTAGACTCCACATAGGTATAAGAATTGCTTATTAAAAAGAATGTGAAATATTCCTCAGTATTCAATAAGAAGTTCTCATTCATAATTGTATTATCTAACTGAAAGGTAATAAATTATTCACTTCACAACCAAAAATATATATAAAAAGACTTCGCATATTGAAATATTTAAAATATCAGCGAATATAAAAAAAATGCAAAATCATGATGAGTCTAAATGAGGCTCAAAAGATTTAAGCAAACAACGGAATGACCACCTACAATCACAATTTTTGTCTTCTTAAAAACCGCGATAGAAGAAAAACATTTCTCAATAAAGAAAGTTTGACGGAATGAGTGAATTGGTTCAAAAACTTGGCTAAATATTTAATTCTGTTGCAACAACCTATCCTAACATATCTTGCATTTGCCTAAAAGAATCAATGTCAATGTTATATCTTCGATTCTTCATTTGCCCTAACCGTAACCCACTCAACCATCCTTGAATTTTCTTATGTAACTTGCATAACACTTTTGGCACCCATTACATCGATTTCCTCTCCGGAATTAGTTTTTTACTATGTTTTTTTTCTTTTCTCAACAAGTTTTCGAGACGCATACGCACGAAACTGATTGATCACAAAACTATTTCGTTTCATTTCGTTTTTTGCATTTAATGTTTTTCAGTTTTCTTGTCAATATATTTAATTGTCACCGTGGAAATGAAAGCAAATGAAAAAAAAGCAAAAAAAAATATAAAAGCGAGAAAAATTTGGCAACTTTTTAAACTGAAACCACTTTTTGATTTTTGTCATATGTACACTCAGACATATTTTTGGTTTTATCGGTGGCGTAGACGAAGAGGGAGCGATACAAGAAAGCAAAACACACTGAAAGACAACTACGGAGCTTATGTAAAAAGTTAAAAAGTTGTCAGGGGCAATCAGAAATTCATAATAAACCTGGCACTCTTCTCTCTTTTTTTTGTTCGTACGTTAAGTACTGTTAATAATAAAAGGAAAGTTCAGTATGTTAATCAATTATTTTTGGTGTTTAGTTGACTTTTTAAAAGCTTTAACATCACAAAGTCAGCATTGACATTTTTTTGCAAGCACCTGCATGTATGATCGCTCAACACACTTTTCTGAATGATTGTTTGATACTTTTTTTGCTGATTTTCTTGTCAATTTGACTTAAATTCCGTTTCACGTTACAAACTTTGCTTCATCGATAATCGTCAAATTTTTTTTTATTTTCAATTTTTTCATGTTTTTAGCTGTGTAGTCAAACTATAAGTTGAATGAGACAATAAACAATAAAGAGTTGGAATACCAATATCGGTTTCTCAATCATTATATGCGACGAAAAAAAAATGGAAAAAAGCTCAACCAACTTTCTCACAAACATTTTTATCACTCGCACGCACGGAACCAAAATTCAATTCGATGTCTGCTGTTTTGATATTTTTTTTTTTCGTTTTGTCTCACATTTTTGCTTTGCAAGGAGATGAAGTTTGGTTTGTCGGTCTTGAAGTTTTTTTTTAACTTTTCTTTTGTTTGTATTTACAGCGGAACTTAAACTTTGACGAAAGCTTGATTGTTGAAAGTTTTCGTTCTTTTTAATAAAAATGTTAATTTAAACACCAAATTTCAACAATAATTAAGATAAAATAAATCATACAATTACTTTTTGATTGAATAATAAATTGAACTACTCTTAAATATTGAAACCAGCTACTTAATTTAAAGCTTTTTAAAAAAAAATGTTTGAATCTTTGAGCGACTAAAAATTATGTTCAACTTCACGACACCAAATCCAATACCAGACTGAAATGTAATTTTCGCGTTTTGTTAAATATCATATGTTGATTTAGTGTGAGCTTATTGATTACGTCATCAAAAAAAAAAAAACTGAGAGTGAGAGCAAAATACGCACGCGCTTTTCGAATGCCACACTGCAAACGAAAAAAAAAATGAAAAATAATAAATCCAACAGTTGTCTTGGACATCGCTCAACTAAAAGCAAAGCAATTATTTGCGTCATAATTTACCTTTAATTTTTTTTTTCTCTTCTCTAAAGTGTAAACTAAAATTTGTTTTTCTTGTTATATCCTCCTTAAGGCTGTGATCGTGAATATCAAGTAGAGAAGTCTGTTTTTTTTTGGAATTGTTTAATGACGGTGGTGTGCGTCAATAAATGAACAACTAACAACACCGTCAAGCGATATTAATGGCCATTTTTTCGGGTATTCGCGTTTATATTTTCGCACGATTACCACCAATACTTGACCAAAAATATAGAAATTACATAATGCTCGAAATAACTGAACGAAGGGGGTGATCGATTTAACGCCACAGAATAAGACAATACCGAAGTAAAAGCTCAAATTCTTTGCACACAAATCAACAATCTCTTTTTGTATATCGCCGGACTTTTTTTTCGGCTTTTGTTCGTAATAAAACGAAGCAAGTTGCAAGAAATAACATTGACCCATGATTTTAAAATAGAGAAATAAAATGTTAAAAGATATCTCGCTTTGAAAATTACTTCAAATTTATTCACAGATTTTTAATTGTTTTCCCAGATATTCTGCGACCCAACCTGAGATGCTAACAATGTAAAATTGCAACAGAGTTTTCAAGAAGTAAATAAATAAATGTAATCATGTTGTCGAAGCTGAAGAGAATAAATATGTCGTACTCAAATCTATTTGTTTCTTAAACATTTACAACCACAAACATTCCATGTGCAATTAAAATTTTCAATGTTAATTATATACAACAAGTTGAATTGTTCCGACAGCAGTCCAATGGCCTTCTAATGATCATTCTTTAGAAACAAACATTTAATAAAAGATGATCACCATCGGAACCATTGGAAAGTTCAGTGTTGGCAAAAATTTGATGGATATTCAAAGGTGAATAAATGAACTTCAATTAGCCTTGTTGAAAGAGACGAAAAATAGTTACAGAAGTAACCAATTGTTCACCTAAATAACGCTTAATCTTTCCAGCTATGGAAAAAGTTGTCTTTGACTGGACGATTAGAAGCTAACGTTAATGCATTAATGTAAATTGCACAAATTACTTCTTAAGGTGAACTGTGCCAAGTGTCTTGATTTTATGTGACAAACTGTCGTTGGTTTCGTAATGATCAAATAAGTGTTGTTATTTGCAGAGAACATTTAATTGAAATGTTTATATTTATATTACTCCAATTTTGCAATGTTTTGTTTGCATTCTTAAGTGGAATGCTTACTTCCTAAGTAGCTGCAATGCATCTTCAATCGTTTATCTTATGAGAAAAAGATAATTGATGCCGATCATTAAATTCCATTTATTGTTATTACGTTCTGAAGCTACTGATGATTACAAATGCATTCCTTTCCGTAAATGATCATTTAGGATGTGCTTCAAATCAAATTGCTTCATTTAAATTGCTGTCATCATTTAACAGATTGACAAATCAAGGGAAGAAGTAAGTTTTTCCTTGCTCACTTATTTATTTATTTATTGTCGTGTTGAAATCATTATTATTCATTTCAATTTATGAATTAATTAAACAGAAGAGTGCAACGCAACGCAACTGCTTGAAATATGCAGTGAAAAAATGAATCATTTTAGTGAAACGCTGAATGATAATTTTTGCTTTATATTGAAAACTTCATTCTTATGAATATCAAATAATTTTTTTTCATTTTTGACCATGATGCTTAATTTAAAACGCGTCATGATAAGCTTAACTGCATTAAGGTCTTCTCAATGCCGGTTGGAAAAAAAAGAAATTTTTGTCGAAACCTGATCGAGATTTTAAGCGTGTCTTTAATCCAAACTTCATCACCGATTATATAAACAATAGCTATACATAAAACATCGGCATATTTGACTAACAAACATTTTAATTATTTTTAGTTTCGTTTGCTATCCGCTTTTTCTGGTTAGAAGCTTCGTCACGAAATCTTCTTCTTTTTATCGTTTACACAGCTAAAATTCAATATTTAGGATCCACTTGTCAGATTGATCGCAATCTTCAAAGTTTTATAGCGAAACCGGAAGAGATGAAGGAAACTTGTGAGATTGGTTGAGTTAATCTCTTTAAATTCTATCAATTTATTGGTTGGAAAACCTGTATCGTTTGATGGAAAATTAATGAACAACCTTCCTTTGAATCACATGGAAAATGGTTTTGAATATATTTAAAAATTATATTCATAAAAAAACATAAAATTAAGTTTCTTTCATCTCAATAAGTTTCAGTAATCTTTCAATCAGTATTCAAAGAAGTTTCAATTCAGCACCTTCTGAAGTGTTACAAAAAATAACTCATTGTAATAAAAGCAAAACATTTCGATGTATCAAAGTCTCGAAGTCTCAAGAAATCCGTTTCCGCATCGGCCATGGACAAGTTCCGATAAAAAAGAACCCAAAAATCATGCGTGTTTTTGACTCAATATGCAAAAAAAACTTGTTTGAACTTTTCGTCTGTAGTTCGTACGGAATGTGAATGAATTAATGTTTTGTTAACCGGTTTTCATTTCTGGATATAAAAAGTGCAAGCAGAATAAAAGCTCGTTAAGGAAAATTATGAAGTGATTATTGTTACTTATTATCTAATACTTCTTTTCTTCTTCACTACCTTGCGTCAAAAGCTTTTCGGAATTCTAAAAATATTTTTAAATGGAACTGAAAACTAATAATAAGTCAACACAACTTCACAGATTTTCTTCATTGACAAAAATAAAGTTAACCGTGAAAAGATGTCTTATGGTAAAACCTTAAACTTGCTAATTGAAAGCTCACTTCGCTAGTTTGATTTACAGAAAACGCGAAGCGTTTCATAAGTTTCGTGAGATCGTTGAAACTTAATGGCAATTTAAAGCGTTTTTTAATTTAGTGTCATTGTTTGACCGGAGTTCAACCTTAAGAATAATACGCAGTACAACGATGAATAAAAAGAAAAGAAACTTTTTAGTTCAAGCAAAAAGCTTTGCTATCGGTTTTAATAAATAAATCTAATAATAAATCAATGCAAAATATTTTTTTTTTCCAAGAACAATCTTAAAATTCTTTCAATTTTTTTTTGTTCTGTTAACGACATAAAGAATTGGCAATCAGATTTATAAAGATGTTACAGGATAATTAAAATCACTTGAAATTTTAAATGACCTTTGTAGATTTTTTTGTTCCGTGGAGTTTGAAACATGTTTGAACGACATCAGAATATTCTTTGACGTGTTATTTTGATCGACGAAGTTAAATGTCTAATAATGACTACAAAAAAACATGAAAAAAGTTCTCAAAAGAGCAAATACAAAGTTTAAATATTTTTAAATACTTGAGACTCTCTTAAGACGTTCTTTTTCTTTGTTACTTTTTAATTTGGCAAGTAGTAAATTTCAAAGTCACAAATGATTACAATTAAAATCCCATCATTATGAAAGACTTTTTGAAGGAGACAAAGCAATTTGTTTTTTTCGCAAATGATAGATGAAATTACTTCTAAGAGCTTCTCAATGAGATTGAAGGAAGAAAATGTTTTGCACAGAGGCCATTGATGGCGTATGATCAGATACGTGCTTTTAACTTCTTCACAATATTATTGACACTTAAATCCAGAAACAGCAAACGCAATTGCATGTTAATAATGTCGATGATAATTAAATATTTTACTTGTTGATGTCAAATCGTATAAAATTTTTCATTTAACCTTGCAATGTTTTCCTTTTTATATATTTTCATATTTCAAAGCACATCGCTTGTGAATGTTGGCATAATAAGCTGTTAGTTTGTTTCCTCATCGTTTAGCTTTTATTTTGATATGTCAGCAGGCATATGATTACCAAAATAAGGAAATCTTCGTGTCGAGTAAGAAAGAACTTAAACAGCAGAAGAAAGAAGTTTTTATGCACATTTTTCGTTGTTTACTTTTGGGAAGTAAAGCTTGCGGATATTGTTGTAAATTTACTTAAACACGACTTTAATGTCTTCATCAACATTATTGTAATGAGCTTCCTTGGCAAGGATGTTAACACTTTCAGAACAGTTCGTTGACATGAGAGATAAATCTTTTATTTGCACGTTTGTACACTTGACAAATCGGAGCTTCAACAGGTTTATTTCATTTTTTTATTTCGAATTTCCACCACAACGACTGAATGAAGCAAAACCTGTTAAATGAAAAGACAATTTATCAATTGTTTTAAATGTTCATGGACGAATTGGATAATTGACCTCCTTCTTTCAGCTCAGGTGGAATTCGAAATTATTATGTACATCATGAAACTATTATCATCTTCATTAACGCTTATGCTTGTGTGCGATATCATTGGAAACATCACGTTTTTAACTTTTTTTTCGCTCTCATGTCTCATTTCATTCATAAATAAAATACAAAAAAAAATCCAACGAAATGTTTAACTTTCTTATTCGATGATAACACCAATATTACAAGCCTTAATCTTCTTTTCAACTTTTTTTTCTCCACCTTTCCCTCGTTGAAGAAGTTACATAACCACATGTTATGATAAGCGGAGAAGAGAAGAAAAATATTCGAGGAAGAAGGCGAAGAAAAAGAAGAAACGATTTCAAGGATAAATAAAATCAATAAAAAAATGCTCACTTCATTTTTTTCAATGCAATCGAATATTTCTTTTTCGCGACTCGTTTTGTTGTTTTTACTTTTGGGTGTTGCAAAACATTACAATAAAATTAAATTAATTTGTGACTTACCGATTTATTTATTTTGAAGCACCAGTTGACTGTTGCTTTGAGGTAAATTCAAACAATTGCTATGCCCTTTTTTCTTCTTATGTAATAGAAAAAAAATAGTTTTTCCGCACACAAATTTTATGAATTTTCTCAAGACAAACTTCCACTTTTTTCTTTTCTTTTACTTTCCGAAAATTTTTGAATGAATGAAGGTGAGATATCCTTTCGAATTAATTTTTTTCGATAGCTTACACGAAAAGATAACAGACTGGACACTTAAACCTGTTGGTCACCTTTTATTCACAACAATTTTGGATGGAAATTTTCTAAGGAATCCGCGACAAACTTGATTTCTTCACGAGAATCAAATCGAAAATATTGAAAAACATTTTTTCTCAACTCTCTTATATTATTTATAAGTGAGCAACTGAGGGAAGGTTGCTCAATTATGGGAGATGATTTACATGTGTTCTTAATTTCAGCAGAACAATAAATAATATTTTATTGCTTCAAAACACTTCTGGAGTCATAAAAACTTTAGTTAAATAATATTTGAAACGTAAATAACATAACAATAGCGATGAATCATTTGTTACGCCGACTATTCCATAATAGATTCACTTGAACTTTTATCCAATACGATAAAAAACTACACGATTCTGATTTTTATATAAACACATGGTTGACAATCCTAATAGTTCTTATCGCTTTTTCCTATATCATCTTGTGATCTCAATAAGAATTCATCATTTTCCAAAGCCACAATGAAACATCATTAAAGTTTTCATAGATGATTTCAATAAAATTTCATTGCTTAATATTTACACAGTTGTATTGGATAAATTGATGAGCAATTCCATTCAAATATAAATAGTGTCGATAATTTTAATAACTTATTTTTAAAACATTTTGCATTGCATTGTAGTAGATAATTTCTTTTAAAACAAACGATATCCTAAACTACCCTTGAGAACCAAAAATTTAACAATCTTAATTAGATATCAAGTCGACATGGTTGTAACCAACTAATTTTAAACAATTCAATTTTTAATTGGATCCATAATTAAACAATTACGGAATATTATTATTCACCTCTAAAGATGATCAAGGCCTCATTTATGATATTTTTTATAATTCTAACATGAGATTTGAATAATTTATTGAGCACATTTTAATTTCAAAACAAAATTCCCTAAAGATTTTTTCTTGTGCAAAATTTAGTCATTATCATTGAAATCTTCATTCTTTTGTTATTAATCTTAAATAATATTTCGAAGTCTTATAAAAGCTTTCTTATAATGTCAGAAATGCTTAGAAATTTGTGACGTCTTTGAAAAAAATATATAAGAACAAAAAGAAATAAAAGAAAAACCGTAAATCAAAGAATAGAAAAGAAACCTGAAATCGCGAATATGATTCTTTAATAGATGTTCATTAAACTTCTTTTAGGAGTCATGTAGGTACTTGAATGTCTATCTTTTTTTAAATGAAACATATATACATCCAAAGGAATTGTTGGTATTTCCAGAAATTTTATTTTCTTCATCCAAATTCTTAATTACGACCATTAATTTTCTGACTTTACCTTTCATCTCCTGAATATACTTTTTTGTTTTGTACTCGCTGATTTCTTTATGAATGTTCAATTGACGTCAGAGACATGTACGTGTTATTAGAATCTTCAACTTACATCAGCTTATTTCTTAATTCTGCTTCATCATTCTGTGTGTTTTTTTTTCTTCCCCACTCAACACACGTAGATGACCTGTTGCAAAAACGAATGTTTCTTATTCAACCACCAAATCTTTTGAAAAGATCGCAAAACACGATTTTCAACAAGAGTAAAATGACGTCACAAACAGCTTGAACTTTGTCTTGAAGAAACATAGCAAGTGTAAACGAATTACTCAGTCGAATAACGATTACTGTGATCTAAAACTACACACTCTAATGACCACTTACCTTGACATTACGCTGTAAATAAAAGAAATGAATGGTTTCTGCGCATGATGTTCATATTGGAGCACGTGGATCATTACGTTGAACATTTTAAGTAGATAGTTGTTTACATTTATTGTTGCAAATCATAACTCAATGTCGACGATTCCTTTTTATTCCTACTTGAATATAATTTTTTATCAACGTCATAATTTATTAAATTCATTTCCTTAAAAAAAATTCCATCGTATTTCAAATAACAAATTGCAAATATTTAAATAAATATTTACAAGCTAAAGGACAACAAGAGATATGTCAATCAATCGAGAATATTCGTAATAACTCGTTTTTCATTTGAGTTCATGATCTGCGTTGCGTCTTGTTTGTTTTTGAACGTATAAAGAGAATGTGAAGAAAACTAAATGACTTTATCGGAGTTTAAAATCACTAAGTGGTAGCAAATTATTTTTATTGCGACTACTCAATAATTACGTCAATTAGTTGAGACTTTAACAGACTATAAATCAGAAATAATTGTCACATAAGTTATTCTATTCATTCGGAACTAAACAGCTAATAATATTTATGCAGTGTCAATGTACGTTTTATTACTCATGTAACGGAACAAAAGTTCCCTTCAATCACGTATGGAAAGCTTTACAGTAAATATGTCACATTAAAGAAAGAAGAATGACTAAGCGGGCGAAGAAGAAGAAGAAGTTAAAAACCTTTGGGACATTCCACTTTTGGTTGTTTCCCAAGAAAAGAAATATATGTACATAACTAAAAAAATACCTAAAAGAGAAATCACGACAACATTGACGCACAAGCAACAAAACGAAACGACAAGAAAACATAACAAATATCAAAAAACCTTTTTTTGTTTATCAAATCCAAAGACAATTTTTTTTTTCTTTTCCCATTTAATAAGATCAGCTACATCATCATTTAAATATGAATTAAAAACATAGTTATAGGCATTGTAATTCATCTCTTAGTGCTTAAACATTGAACTTGTTAAACCAAAAAAATATTCTCTTAATTTCCTTTTATATACTTTTTTTAATATTTGTTTCCCTAAATTGATTGTTGTATGAAATTAAGAAGAAAAAATCTTTTCATCTTTTATTTGCGTGGGTGGTTTATGTTCCAAAGTGCAGCAGACGTTTTTAACCTTTCAATTGACATTTTTCAGATTTAAAATTTATTTTATCCAAACATTCTAATGCGAAGTGTAGACAAAGTTATTGTATAAAGCTCAAACAAAGTAAATAAATAATGCATCGAGTCTTTAATCAATATTTAAAGCAATCAATTTTAAGTCTTAAAAAGTGTTCATCGAAATGTAAAATTTTGACTTCATTTTGAGACATAAATCACTCTCACGCTTTTCTTTTTGTGTGTTACACATCTTTGTAGGATTGTTTTTGTTTATTAATTAGTTTAATCAGATTCTCATTCTACTATTTCATCCGTCATTTTCTTGATCTTAAAGTGCCATTGGACGTCACACCGTTTGCCATCCTTGAACCGTTTTTGTCTAAATGGCCGTTCAATAAAGCACCGTTTAGGTGAATACCATTCTTACTTAGACTTTGATCTTCACTCGTTGTCGGCTAAAATAAATAGAAGAATGAAAATAAATTAAATTAAGTCGGTATGTGTGTTGGAGATTATAAATTTTTATAAATGAAGTGAAAACGAGCAAAAATTGTTTTCATAATAATGATGATGATGATCATCACGATGATGTTGATAAATAATAAAGGTCTCTTGTGCAAATATTAAAGCGAATTTAATCTTGACCTTTATGACGCAGTTTTAAGTAGATAGAAGGCTCTTGACAATGCTGCCTTAAATATTAGATACTTATAATTTATTTATTCTTTTTTTTCTGTTGCAAAGATTATCAATTAAAGTGTGTTGGCAAACATTAGACAAGGCTTTTGCGTCACACGAGGTTGTTCATGAAATCAACCAATGTTCTTTCAAAAAAAAAGTTAAGTAAAAAGTAAACGGACGAGTGAATAAGTCTGGTTTCAAGTAAATTATTTTGTGGGTTTTACATTTTCATTTCATCAAAGGCAAGTCAGAGGCTGCTTGCTGCTTTTTATAATTTTGCGAATCATTAACGTAAAGAGAGAATAAGTCAAACGTCATGTACAAGTTACTTACCACTTGTGAGCTGTTATTTTCGTCATTGAAATGAACTTTTCCATTCGCCAATGTTTTCTTGTCCTCTGACGCTTTCAGTCTTTTTTGCTTCTCGATATAATTTTGTTTGTAAAAGTCGGAGAAGAGGAATAAGAACATTACACCATGTAGACCAATCCACACCATGAATCCTTTTGGATATTCACAATCGACCCACAGTAATTGGAATTGATGAGTAAAAATGGCGACAAATTGAAGCTGGAAAATATTAAAAATTTTAACAAAATCTCATTTTAATAAAATTAAATCATTTACCATTTGAAATGCTGTCAAATACTTTTTCCACCAAATATATTTTTGATATTTGGGCCCCATAGCTGCAATCATGTAATAGAAGTACATGACAATGTGTACAAATGCATTAAGCATAGCAAAGAATGTGCTGTGACCGCCTGGAGCAAATTTCATGCCCATCCAAACTAGAAAAATATTTTTAAATTCGCATTTATTAATATGAAAAATGTTTTTGGTATGTTTAAAAGTCGTCATGAATGTCAAACTCACCACTGAAAGGCATAACTCCATGATGTATCACGTGAAGCGTTGAAACTTGCTGATTCTTCTTTCTCATTAAAAAGAACAAAGTGTCGAAGAATTCGGTAAACTTTGAAATGTAATACCACCAGCATGTTTCAGCCATTCTTAATCCTTTTGGACTGTAGTCAACAGGTTGACATCGATAGCTATAATCTCGCAACCAACCACTTTGCAGATACTGGAAAATAATTCTCTAACTTTTCTTATCTTTGATTTAGTTAATCAACTTACTTCATAGAATATCCATGCGCTAAATACTGTTTGAAACAGATTATAAAAAATTAACATTTGTCTGAGGTCGAAAGGTTTGCGATTCTCCATCAAACGAGGTGCTAGAGATTTACAAAAATATGCATAAAATATACAAAGTGCTAGAGTAGGCAACGGTGATTGCATCATAGGCCAGTCTTTAACTCGAGGGTCTGTTAAGATGAAGAAGAATAATTCCATTAATTTCTTTTAATATAAATTTTATAATCCCCTTCACTCACCTGAACGATTATCCATTAGATCTCTATACCAATCGTATGCATCATGCAGTAAATAAGCCATGATTGTTTCTGTTTTTCTTCCTCTATATGCCACTAAGAAATGTTAACTGAATTTTATGCAGCTGAAAATAGAAAAAATTGATTGAATCAATAAAAGTTAACTAAATATTGTCACAATTTATATTGAGGTTTTATTCACTTTTATTTCTACTTAGTTTCAATCTCAACGATGGATTTTATGAAACTGTTTCGACTTGAAAATCATAATTTCTGAATCAATTTCTAAATTAGGTTTTTATTATCAAAAAAAAGTCTTTTCTATGCTAATTTGAAGGGACTTTGAAACACCTCCGAATGATGTCCATATAACATCCGCCATAAATATAGACGATCAGTAAAATAAAAGTAGAAAACAACCTACGTTAATATTTTTATCGCACAACACGCGTAACTGAACGTTTCACAAATTGCATTCCTTTAAAATTCCAGCTGATTCACTAAACTGTTTTTAAATAGGTAATCTTTTTTTTCCAATCTCGTTTGAAACAATGAATCAGAACTTGTGTCAATTGCATCTAATGTTGTTATCGAATTATATTTTACTGACAATTAAACTCAAACTCATTCGTTTAAATTGCTGATTAATTGAAAAATTCAAATTGTCTATTATTGAATCAAAAAAACGGGTCAAGCAGTTAATTATGTATATGATAATTGCTTACTTTCATTAGAATTTAAATAAATTAAAGCATTGACATGAGTTTTCAAAAATTGGCGAACTTCACTTGCGAAACATGCATTGCGATGCATTTTTTCTTTCTTTTATTTACATTTTCTTACAATTGCTTGTAATGTGACACATTTATTGAACAAATATTTGCTCATCATCCTAAATTAACGTCGCCTTCTTTGCGCTCGACATTTTTCTTTATGTAATGGCTTTTGCCGATTTCACTTTGCTTAAGATTTCACTTGATAAATTTTTTATTTTTTAAAAATGTAAGAAATACAACAGACTGTTGATTATCGCGGGAAACATATTTTCAACAGTCTTTCTCTCTCTTTTCTCAGCCGTTTCCCTTGTTGTTTCATCTTTTTACGATGTCTTCTATTAAAATCGACGAAATATCTGAGGAAAATTTACTCACTTGTTGAATCAAAGATGTTTCAAAAATTATTTGTTTCCATGCAGAACTTATTAATTAGAAAAAAAATTATATCCCCGCAGTAACAGATTAAAAGCGTCCTGTGTTAATGAAAAATAACGTTCAAATGATCAACCGGAATCAAAATTTATTCATTAAATCTACAGATTTTTTTTTTGTTTCATATAACTGATGTTCAATGAATTTTTACACTTTGTTTCGTTGTGTTTGTAGTTGGTGCTCGAGAAACAACAACAAAAAAAATTTCGTTTTCACGTTTGGAACGTACATACAATATGATACTATGTGAATAAGTAAGAGAATTAAATTTGTGTCCGTTCGTTAACATGTTCATAAATAATAATAAAAAGAAAAACCAAAATTTCACGAAAAAAAATTCCAGTAATGAGATGCCATAAACTAAGTTAAAGTTAATTTTTCCTTATTACTTATGATTACACATATTTTCATCGAGATGTTACTTACTTTTTATAGATAAATATCTACAATGATAAGTACATAAACCACTTGTCTTAGTGAAAAGTAATTCCAGGAAAATTATTTTCGTTCATTTATAAAGTTGCGTGTTTATTTTTTTCATTAGAAGATTAAATAACTTCGTCACGCCTCATGTGTGGAGAATACCGTTGACAATAGCACAATTTTGATTACTTATTGTTTTTTATCACGAGATTAATTTCTAAATTTGATTAGATATTGAGATATTTTAAAATTCCAAAGTGCTTTGATATTGACAATAGCAACAAACAAAAATATAAAAAGAAGATTTTTATATCAGAAGAAAATTTTATCGGTGATGATTAAGCCTCTGTTATCAATTGAAGTTATGATTCACGCTAAAAACTGTTTAACTTTGGCTTCTTATCGATTAATCGTTCTTTTTTTCACATTTGACAAAAAATACCAGTTTAAGATCTGACGAATTAAAATTCAAGCAGCCTTGAAACGTGAAGCTTTAGATACGATTCCGACCTGGTATGCGATAAAAAAATATTCAATAACTGTAGGCAAAGGTTTGCTGATGATTCTTTTTCAAATTATGTCAATGCATATTTTCCCCTTTTTTAACAAGTTTTTTTTCCGAAATGAGTGACTGACTAATGGCTTCGTCAAATGTGAAATTGTCGTCTGATCGTCACGAAAAGGAATAACAATTTATTATTATTTTTTAATGTTTGACACTTGAGGGTAGTAGTAAAAGCATGTATCGATAGGATAACTTGATTCACACAATGCCCTCTAGAGGACGAAGATTAGCTCATTGACGAAAAAGTTTTTTTATAAAATGCTGATCTATTTATCTTCTAAGAACTTGACGACACGCGAGAAAAAGAAGATGAGAACAAACATAAGATAAAAAAAATCTCACAAGCGTTTAATGGAAAATCTTGATTGTCGAACTAGAACATTAAAGAGAAAAAGAAGAAAAAAATATCTCAAGGGCTCTTGAATCTTTAGTCCATGCTATTTTAATATTTGAACATCTAAGAATTTTTTTTCTTCACTTTGTAGAAAAATAAAATCATTTTAAAACATAGCTAAAAATATTTTTTTCAAAAATAGCTGAGTGCACATAGTTTTGTGTTCCGCTTACCGCACTAAATATGAATTCTCAGCGAATTCGTTTTTTATCGGGCCAGATATGGGTCATACAAGAGCTCAAAACACTGCCAACTTAAGCATTTATTTTCAGTTATTATTAAATATTTTTTTCTTCTTTTCGTAACCAATATCACTACTTTCTTTCTTCGCACACTTTCTATTCAAATTAACTACATTTTTTCGTGAAAACCTGATATTGTGAAAATTAAGTAGGACCTCAAGAGATGACTTACTTTAGACTTATATTAGTTTAATTTAAATACGAATTTCGACCGAGTATAATGCAGAATATGATCTTGAACTTTTCCTTAAACTGCTATTTGTCAAAAACTGATGTAAACTTAATAAATAAATACTTAATATATCGATTAATGCTGTAATTTACAAAACCGACTGACTAAAATTTTTTATACACCCGTGATCATTCAAGAAATGATGTCACGTTAATGGATAATCGTGGATATGTAGCATGCTTCTACACGCAACTACTTGTTCATCATTAATGGATAAGTTATTTTCAAATGAATTTGAAAGGTTGTGTCAATGTATTGGAAATTGGACTACCGAGTAATTTTTTTTTTAAAAGGTTGTTTCAAATTCTAAAATTCCGTTAAATCTATCACTCAAAAAGCTTCTTAATTATGAAGCTTTTTATTAACGATATAAAAGTGCTTATTATTGAATGTATGTTAGATATAAATTGAACACAATAATGAAGAAAAATCAAAATTTAGTACCTAGTTAAATATTTTCAAAATAAAAATCAAGCATTTGATATCGATTTGGTTTTTATTCCTCAATAAAATAATTGATAAAAATAATAAATAATTATTTTTGAAGAAGTTTTATTGATAATTCATATGGGCCCATAAGGAGTTCACAAGAGTTCAAGTTCAGTAGTGTGACTCAGTTTTACGTCTTTCAAGAATTAAAAATCATGTAAAATACTTTTGACATTGTTGAATAACAAAACAGCTTCATATGTTTTATTTGTTCTTCATTACTAAAGTGCTAATTGATTAGAAAAGAGAGCAACTCATATTTAAAAATCGAATTATTAAAGTTTTTTGAAAAACTAACAGATTTGTTTTGTTTATCTTTTTCTTTTTGCGCACAAATAAACGAGTAAAATATCTTTGAAACATTTTTACAAGTGTCATAAACCTTTGGATTATTTTTTACAGAAATTTACATCAATAACAATGGTATTTGAGCCAGTTAGAATAATTTTTCAGTCTCAATATTCATTTCTAATAAATAACGTTAACAAACAATAATTTTACTTATCATTTATTTTTCCAAAATTTTGAAATTCACCATCGATCGCCAATTTGTAACAGAGATAATCTTATTATGAGAAAATGTTCTAACAAAAGAATGGAATATTGAAAATCTTTTGTTTGCTTCAAATTCCCTCAAGTTCAATGATTTCAATATGATATCTTGGTAATAATATTTAATTGAAGTATTAATGACACTAACAAGCCTCGTCGTAGAAGATTAAGCTATTCGTTTTTAAGTAACATACAAAACATTATTAATCTTTGGAACATACATATATTCATGCCATATTCCCATGTACTTATCTGAAGGTTTTGTCATGACTTTCTGGATATTTCTATGCTTACCAATTAAACTGTAATTAGAGTGATGTCTTATTTTATAGCATAGAAGAGTAATTTTCAGAAAATAAACATTTTTTGTTTGAAGATTTTTTCGTTATAAATTAGCAGTCAACTCATAATGTGTTTACGATGAAGAACACTTTAAAGTTGTTTTCAAGATTCACCTGAAAAGCTCACGAAACAAAAATTATTTTCATATCAAAGACAAAAATGTTTACTTTTCACAATGAATTAATTTTATTTGTTGATACTTTTACATGCGGTTGAACCTTAGAATCATTATCAATGAGTATAAATATAATGATTGATTATCTTTGACTTAAAATCACTTAACTTAATCAATGATACTTAATTTTTGGAACCAACAAAAACTCTGTTTCTTAGCTCATAACTATCCTCGACCTTACCCATTGCTTCATAAAGCGGCGTTTTACCATTGTTTGTATTAATATTATTATTATTCTCTGAGGATATTTCATTAGCAAGTCTTTTCTCTTGGCGTTCTTTCTCCTTTTTCTGTAGACATAATAAATATGAATTAATAGAACCATTATCGGTAATTAAAATTTTACAACATACCTTTTTATACGCTTGATTATAGAAGTTCTTGAACAGAAAGAAGAACATGCATGCATGCATTCCAATCCACCAAACAAAAGCGATTGGATAATTGCACGGATTCCAAATAAGTAATTGGAAAGCATGTACCATAACAGCAATGAATTGAACCATTTGAAGGACGGTCAAATACTTTTTCCACCACAAATATTTTTGCATCTCCGGTCCCATTGCTGCTAACATGTAATACAAATACATCACAATATGAACTCCTGTGTTGACAAATCCGAAGAAAGATGAATGACCGCCTGGTGTGAACTTTACACCCCACCAAACTATTGATTAATTAATAAAAATTAATTTTTAATTTATATTTCAATGAAAAAGTCATCAAAAGCTTACCACTGAATGGCATGATACCGTGATGAATGACGTGAAGTGTCGAGACTTGATCGTATCTTTTGCGCATTACGAAGAAAATTGTATCAAAGAATTCTGTAAATTTGCTGAAAAAATACCACCAACAACCCGATGCCATCTACATAATGAATAAATTATTCATTAAAATGCGACCTTTGTAGTCAAAACAATTTCTTCTTACTCGTAGTGCACGAGGCGATGTGGAATAATCTACGTTTTGGCATCTGTAACTGTAATCGTTCAGCCATCCTGTTGAACTTGCTTCATGGAAGAGCCACATACTGAATAAAACTTGAAAAAAGTTATAAATTATGAGAATTTTTCTCAGCTTAAAAGGTTTTCTGTTTTCCATGAGCTTTGGGCCAATAATCTGAAAATAAAAGTAATGATGATGATTTAAAAATTCTTGAAAAATTAAATTGTTTATTGACCTTCACAAAAGCGGCATAACACAAACATATTGCAACTGTTGGGAAAGGTGATGACATTAGCAACCAATCTTTAGTTCTTTGATCTGATTTGTTGTCCATCAAATCTCGCCATCCATCATAAACAATATTTATTAGTTCCATCTTGAAGCACGTCAATGAAAAAATAAGAAAAAAATTTCAATTAGTAATATAAAAACCGAGGGATGTCGTTAACATGATTAAGTGAACTTTGCATGTTCAACATCTTGCAATCTCTTAAATCTTTTGTCTGTCTCGTGTGCGCGCACTTTTAAGATGACATAATAAAATTTGAACCAGATTTAATAATGGAGTGTTACGCTGCTCCGTAATTCATAATGGTTTTTCGTAAATATGAAAACGAAAATTAAAAAAATTTAATTAAGACCGTTTTCGGCTTTTTAATTTTGTTTTGTTGCTTTTTCTCCGTCTCAAGATATATTTTTTAAAGAGTAGAAAGTAGTTACTCTATCAAAAGCAATTATGCAAGTCAACTCTGTCTACAGTGATTCATTGTCAAATTTTTCTCTAAGAGTTTTTTTTCTTAGGCAATTCAAGCAAAACAAAGATTATTTAACCACTTAAAAGTTGGTTTCTGAGGTTTCAGTATCTCGTCTAAAATGTTGGTTGAGTCGCAGTCTAATTTGTATCACAAAATGAATTATTAAAGATATTTTCAAAAACCACAAATTATTCCCAAAATAGAAATGTTAAATTTTTTATTTTGTTACTTGCACAATGTGTGACAATAATAAATTAATAAAAAAGGAGTCGTTTTAAAAGTAATCGTCCTTATTTAAAATAGCTGCATTTTGTGAGTGACAATCAATCATGGCTTTTATTTATGTTATCTTGACAACAATTTTTACGAAGGTTAAAAGTAGAATTTCTACTTAAAAATTTATTATGACATTTTTTCGAAATAAATCTTCCAACGACGTTAATAAAATAAATAAAATCTTATTCGCATAACGGTTTGACATACGCAACTCAACAAGTTTTTCAATTCAAAGTAGATACTTTCAAGATTTTCTCGCTTATTGTTCATGAAGTAAACAAAACTGCCGCTAAAATTAACCATACCATTGATTTTTTTTCGTAAGTATTTTCTTTCTTATTTTTTTCGTTTCATATTAAAATCGGTTGTGAAAGTAAAAGTGATTATCATAATATGAAACATTCGGAGATCTGAATGAGATGTTTTCGTACCAGCAAATAAATAGCAAAGACCGGAAATAAAATTCTCGGTTAATTATCTCAGCAATTATCATTATCGGTTTAAGAAGTTTAATTTAGAAACCAACAATTATACGAAAGTTCACAAAAATTATCGCAGCGTTGCTAAAAGATACGATTTTCAAAGAGACAAAAATTAATATTTAACATCAGTGACGAAGCATTCGGAGATCACGCCACAAATCTTTTAGTTACAAAGTTCCTATTCACAAAAACTTGTCCTCAACGGTTGATTGACATGCCAAAGAATCAATGGCAATCTAAGCAATTTGAATATTTATTTTAATCAACAGTAACAAAAACAATGAACAAAATCACCACAATCGCCTTCCTTATGAAGTCAATATTTTTAAATTAAATCACAAAACATTTTCCGAATTTAAACATTCTCATTAACATAGTTCATTTGCGTAATTGACAACTTATTTGACTCCTCTGATAATATTATTATCAGGTGATATCTATTAATCAAAGCATTGTGCAAATTATTCTGCTTTTGTGTGACATATCAACATTTTTGTGATATCAAATGAGTAAACGAGTAAGTAGACAGTTTGTAAGAAAATCACGAACATGCAACACGAGATTCTTTGTTTATTCATAAAATTGTTTGCGTTGAGAAAAGTGAGCATGAAATTTTATAAATGATTCCAAGGTATCAACTTGATACATGAACATGCTGTAAATATTTCATGTTTTATGTATAAAATGTCGCAGAGCTAAACAAATAAAAAATAGCAAACATGGCTCGTCAGAAGTAGAAGAATTTTACAAACAGTCAATGGAATAAATTAATAATACAGAAATAATAAGGAAAATGACAAAATATCTACATTTTAACTGGAATTTGTAAATTGTAATAAAAATTCCATAATTTTTTCTCTAGAAAATGATATTTTCAATATTTGGATAATTAATTAAGCAAATAATGTTTCTGATCTCTTTTTAATATTTATTAAGAAGAAAATTTATTTATGATTGAATATTCATTAGATATTCTGTTGTGTTGATAATTTAAATGAATTCATAAAATTGTTGAAATTATTAAACAAGATTAAAGAATTTTCAGTGTCATCATGACGTTTACTTCACGTATTACTTAAGATGGAGAAGCAGTAATTTGTATTAATGAACTTTGATGTAAACAATTCATCGCTTTTCCCATGCGCAAATCTATTCTTCTTGAATAATAAAACTGCAATTGAAGTTGAACTTGAATTATACGAAGTTGACGACAATAACATTCATTATCCGCTTTCCTTTCACCTGATTATTCCGATTTTTCGTCAAGCATCGAAACAAGTTATAAATCATCATGAGGTCTTTATACAGTTTGTAAACTGATACGAAAATTTGTTCCTAATTAGCTTCATTGTTCAATTTGTCGCCGTTGAAGAATTTTTTTTCGATGAAAAGTTTTTATGCTGCAATTACCGGATTATTTTACCATGCATTTTTTCATCCCAATAAAGACAACGATGTTATTGATATTTTAATTGGTAAGCTGTCAAGATATTGGCATTTAAATAATAAAAGAGAAAAACATTTAAGCAAAACTGAATGATTTTTTCTCACATTTTCGAAGATTTCTTTAAGATTTTATTTCCTTTTTGGAAGACATGTAAGAAGGTATTTAAGTAATCAAATTGAGAGTGTGAGTAAATGACAGTGGCACATTTCAATATTTTGTTTAGTTCAAGTCTCGAGACGAGAGAAATGATTCATAACATGATTCGATTGATGGTTATTATGCAACACAACACACAATTTCACTTTTCACTCCTTCTGTTAGCGTCAAACAATTTATGTTAAACCATACGAATGTCTCAATACACGCATAGATATCCAAAAATGTGCTGGTACATTTTAGTAATGATTTCTACATTTATTTCTTGTTTGTAACTTTTCTGTCATTTCCTAAAATAGACAGAAGAAGAAATTTTGGTTCAATATGTATTGCAACAGCAGACTCATTTTATTTGATTGTTCACGTTGTGTCTTAGCTTTAATCGAAGTGAAATGTGTACCGCGTGAATTTTATTATGCAATAGAGAATGTAACTTTTTTTGGAGGTTACTCGTTCACGAAAGTGTAATAAGCAAGCAAGCACGCTATAAATTCTTTCGTCCGAACTTAAAGAGAAAGGTTTTCTTAAATTTCAAGGATGATCATTGCCGTCCTTTCATTTTATGTATCTTGTGTGGCTTTATGCTTCTTTCATACATAGTCTTCATAGCTTTTCTTTAAAATGAAATCTGCTTTCTGATAAATGTCGATCATTCTTTGCGCTCTTCACACAGTAATTGGAAGCATCACGATGATTATTTACAAGCGTCTCGCATCATATTTTACGAATGAAAAAAAACTCTTTCTTTTTCTTCATCATCTTGTCTTATTTATTTCGGCAGCTTGTTTACGACTTGCACAACTCAAGTAACCAGAAGAAGTATTAAGAAAAATTCAAATGAAATGAAACAAAAGATTATGAACGGTTTCTGCTTAATTCACTCGTAAGCATCAACTACCGAAAAAGAAAATAGATTACGAAATAGATTCAGGCTTGGACTTGAGTGAATTGAAAATTGTTTGAATATTTCTAACAATTTGTTAGATCAAAAAAGATCCTTCATGACCAATGTCAACAGGATGTCGTTTAAACTTGACAGTCCAACACAATTGTTTTATACTCAATAAAGATTTATATGAATAATCGTCAATATTATTCCAAATGATTAACAAGTAAAATACTTGCTTTCTTGTGTAAAATTTCACTTTTTCTGTTGATTATTCCAATGTCGCGGCATATTGAAGATTACCACACGTCACGTAATTTTACTCTCGACATTTCAAAAAATACTTTAAACAAGTTTACATTTTTTTGTTTGATCTTGGGACAGGTCAAAAAACGTCTACACAAACGGTTTGATCTACGTAAGTACCATGTATGTGATTCGACAGCATTTTGCTTAGAATTTATTCGTCTAACTAAACTCAATCTCAAGTCGATGGTGTTAAGTTGTTGAATATTTGGGTAATTTGAATATGTAAGTCATGTTAAGAAATCAAAAACTTGACCACATGTCGGGGTAATTTTTGAAACTCATTAAAGTTAAATAATTTTACAAAACAAATTCACTGATGGAAAACTCAAAACGAATCTTCTTATAACATAATTTTTTATTGTTGTAATGATTTTTCATCATCCATTTGAATAATTTTGTTTAAAACTTTTTCGTGTCTAGACAATACTTTTCATTTATAATTTCAGCATCTTTTGTTGAATTAATTAACACTTGTTACAATTTGATTAGATGTGAGAAAATTACGCAGACTTGAGCATTTTGTTTGCTCACTCAAGTAAAATATTTTAGGGCAAAACTCAGTTTTTCAAAGTTTATTCATTAGCTGATGTTAAGCAATGATTGAGATCGTTGAGATGGTTTTACGAGAAATTGTTTATTAGTGACAAATTCATTCTCGCCTTGAATTTGTCGGAAAATGTATTCATAATGAAAACTTGTTTCAATCAAATATTTAATTCACCTTCTATCAAGATTATGATGCATAAAATTATCACTGTAACTGTTTTCATTAGGTATTTATTTTAAAATTAATCACACATTGAATGCTTACCTTTGAGAACTTTTATTTTATTGAATTTAGAATTCAATGATTTGCTTTCAATTTTTTTCTAATTTTCCTCTTTTTATTAAAAATATTCCTTTTTCTTTTATAAACAACACTTTCTTGGGTTTCCTTACTTTTCGCTCACCCAATTCTTGTGATTCTTTTAACGATGTGAAATTTAAATTGAATTAATTTTTATTTGCGTTTTATTTTAGAATTTTATGTGAATTAAAATTTCTTGAATTTTTAACGACTTCTTTCATAAACTTCACGAAATTCAAGATTCTACTCATAAAATTAAGAACATTAATTAAACGCGCACTCAATTCCTTGTCACTTCCACATCGAAAAACGAAATAAACTTTTTGAGCGGTCACCACTTTTCTTTTATACTTCGCGATACTTCGCTTTGGTGGGGAAGGCGATTCAACTAAATTTGTTTTTCTTTTCTTCCACTGCGCTCTTTTAAATAATTTATCTGTCAATTGTGTGTGTTCATTGGCGAAATGTTCATCATCCATCTCCCTTCCTTCATATAGGGATGCTCTTTGTTATGTATCACCTGAAGTCATCTTACGTACAAGTCTAATAAAAAAAATTCTAAGTAGAGTGTTAAGAGCAAAACAATGAACTTGAAAAACACAAAAAATTGTCACTCATAAACAGACTTTTTTTTTTTCATTTTCATAGTATTTGACTGTGCATATTTCTATACGAAGAGATTATCAGAAGATCTTGCAAAATTTGCTTAACGAACACGACAAAAATTTAAATAAAAAATGTAACGTGATGTAGACGTGAATTGAGAGAATTTTAAACAAAATTAATATGTGTGGTGTTTGTCAGACGAAAGCAAAATAAAACAACGAGTAAGCAACATGAGCTTTTTTTGATTTTGTTTTTCTTCTCTTCGAGCTTTTGGATATTCGTACAAGTAGAAACATGAACGATGCTTTTTTCATTTTAATGTTATTTTACATTTCTGAAGAGTGAAGTAATTAATTAAACATTGTTCATGTATACATATTAAATTTTTCAATATTAAAGTATTCACGTAATCACCTTAAGCTACTTTTAAACATCATCAGCCAAGTTGAAAGAAATTTAAATTTTTACTGATTCAACGTGAATGTGTGTGATGAATCGGACTGAATGAAGATGATATTTAGAATGATTAAGTTAATGGACTTAGTCGGGTACTGGGCTCGTGCAAATATTTGGTTGTAGTCGACAAGACTCAAAGTTTAGATCGTAAGACTTTTATGTTGGTTTAGTCTGATATTTCCCGTGGATTTTGAATATGTGACGCAATTCTTTTAAAATAAAAAACCAAACTTAAATTTCGTCTATTAAAATTATTTTACTCTAGAATCAAACATCGGAAGCAACAATGTTTCAGTTTTTGCCGCAAGAAGACCTTTCTCAGATGTTTTAAAACGAAGTTGAGGAAACTCTGCAATCATCTGTGAATGCCATTAAACCACATATTCTTGAATACAATTTTGGTTTTTTTGCTAATTAATTTTCACACTAGACTCTAGAATTTCACATTGAATCGCTTTTATAATGGGTGATAATTGTTATTGAAATTTAAACTTTCGCAGAGTGTTAATTGCGATTTTTTATGCTTCAATTAAAGTATTTTCTTAGTCATAAATCGTCAATCGTCATTGCCTTTGCAGTAAAAATTTACGATCTAGAAAAGAAGGAAAACAAAAGATCTACGCAAATTGCAACTTGAGTTAAAAGTATCTTTTATTAAAACAATGTTGATGACGTTCGAGAGACTCAATCACCTCAACAACATGTAAACATATCTCGAGTTGATTGTTTAATTTGTTCTTAAATCATTACTTATTATACAACAGTTGTCAACAACTCCGCATGAATAAATAAAACTTATTCTACTTAACTTATATAATTAAAAATTGTCATTTTTACTTCCTTTGTTATTTATTTATATTCATTACATCGTTCAACAAATTGCATTTATATGGCACTAATTATGTTAAAAGGTGAAAGAATTATTTGTTTTATTCTGATAAATCAGAAGATTAAACATAAAACTCTTCCGGAAATAAATTTATACAGTAAAAGCTGTTTAACATGTATTAAGAAGGAAATTTGCTTGAATTTTAATTTTACAGAATTAACGTCTCACAAGCTTACTTCTTCATAAAAAAATCGATGATCATCTTGAAGCTTAAGTCGCTCCAATGCTTTTGATCGAGTATAATCAAACTTTTCTTTAAAAATGTTAATAATGAATTCGGGAAGAACCAAATCAGTTAGAATCTCATCGATCGTTTCTAAACCTTCCATGTTTGCAAGCTTTTCTAATTCTCTTATCACAGTCATCATTTGATTTTCAGACAAGACATTTGATGTTGTAATCAAAACGGGATTGTAGTTTAAGTTTTTTCGTTCACTTCTTGACATATTGTACAACTTTTCAAGTTGAGGCTTGAACTTTTTCACAGCTCTGCATGGATAATAAAGCATTGTAACTTCTAGACTAAATATTTATGATTATATACTCACAATTTCAATTGTTCTGTCGAGAACTCATTACAATCTAGCATTTCGAGATCTTTCAACTCAATTTTTTTCAAATTATTTTCATGTTCACGTTGTTGAGATTTTTCTATAAACTTCTGAACTTCCTCGAACTCCTCGTCATTGAAATCTAGAGTATTTGATGTGCTGGGTTTAGATTTTGTTGGAACTTTCTCCTTTGGACTTTCAACATAAGCGAACATAAGTCTTTGACTCGGATCAGTCTTGAGTTTCTTGTTTGGTCTTGTGGATTCCTTTTTATTTCTTGGTGATCTTCGAATAGTTTTTGGACTATGATTATCTGTGAAAGACATGTCAGTAAAAGATGTGTCTTCTGAAAAGTGCACAGTTTTAGATTTTTTTGCTAATTGTTCAATATCAAAACCAAGAATGTTGTTCTCCATCTCATCTTTCGGATTCTGTATAAATATTTCTTCTTCGTCCTCATTTTCTTCAATGTTTACAGTGGAAAGTTCTTTTTCTTGAGAAGAATTACTTAAAATGACAGGTTGATTAAGATTATTATCTATTGAGATTGAAGAATCATCGTTAACGTCACTATCAAGGTTCGATTCTTTCTGGATCTTCTTCAGCTTGCTCTTCTTTCTTCTAATTCTTTTTATGACGACTTTTATCATCCAGCTAAGCAGATATTCAAACGGAAGTTTGTCAAAACGAATGAAGCTTTTATTCTTAGGAATAATTTTCAAAAGAATTTCCAAGCTTCCAGTTCGAAAACATGATGAACTCGACGAAGTGCTTAGTCCTTCATATCGTTTAGCTGCAAATTCATTTATTTTTCTCATAATTAATTCCCATTCTATTAAAGAAATGTCTTTGTCAGTTTGAAATGGAATTTTGAATGAGTAGAGGCGCCTTTGTTCGATGTTAAACTCTAATGCGACATCAAAGTTATGAGCTGAATGAGAACGAGCCTGAAAAAAATTTTCAAATTGAAATTGTGAAGAAAATTCATTGTTCTTTACCTTGTAGAATTCTATTTTCGTTGATTGACAATTCACCATCATAGCTTCTATGCCTAAAAGCTATTATTCTTTTAAAGATTAGACTATTTATTAATGAATTTTAGGAGAAAGATGCCATTTAAGACGTGATTTTTAGGGAGGTGAATACTTTCAAATATTTCCCGCTCCAAGTGTATAAGAAAATATTCAGGGTTGAGTCAAAACACGATCACAAACCCTAAAGCGAATTAAATTCGCCGGGGAAATGAAGTTCATTCCAAAATCTTACAAAGCCTTTTTCACAATAAATATTCGTTTTTGAAAAAAGAACACCATAAAAATTCCAATCCAATAATTTTTCTATCAAGTGTATTGATCAATCATAAACGAAGAAGGTTGTCAAACAAAAATCAGAGAGGAAATTGAAGTTTTCCAGAAACACTTTTAAAGTTAATTTAAAAGAAAGCAATATCATGAAGAAGTGTTCAGTTTGTAATAGCAATGAAATCGAAATTGATAGCGCAAGAGGAGATGAAGGTAAATTTATTGAACTATTATCTTATAAAAGCAATGAATCATCTAAATTAAATATCGGCTTGCAGTGTGTACAAATTGCGGTGCGGTGCTTTCTGATAACATCATCGTAAGCGAGGTTCAATTTGAAGAAAATGCAGTTGGAAACTCATCGGCTGTTGGACAATTTGTGTCAGCTGATTCCAAAGGAGGAGCAACAGGGTACGGGAAGTTTCATGTTGGGACCAGCACAGAGTCACGCGAAGTCACACTGCGTAAAGCCAAAACAGGGATTAATCATTTATGCAGCATTTTACATCTGTCAAATCACTGTGTCGACACGGCTCACAACTTTTTTAAGATGGCATTATCAAGGAACCTTACTAGAGGACGAAAAAACAGTCACATTTACGCTGCATGTGTTTACATAACTTGTAGAACTGAAGGAACGTCACGTAAGTTCCCAACATGACATTGTCGCTCATACTTTTATTTACATGACATCGCACAATTTAGATTTACTCATTGATATCAGCGATGCACTTCAAATCTGTTGTTATGAACTTGGACGAACATATCTTAAATTATCGCAAGCACTTTGCATCAACATTCCATCAATTGGTGAGTTGAAAAACATTTTTAATTCTTTTAAACTTTTATTTAAAGTGAAATCAACGATATGACAAGAATTTCAATTAATTAATTAGATAAAAAGGATGAAGCAAAAGAATTGCATATAAATTTGTTATTTTCACATTTCTACTTAAAGTTTGATAATTTTATTTTCTCTTTTTAACTTTTTCTAAATGATTTTCAAAAGCTTCTCGCTACTGACTTAAAACTGTTTTATTATAGATTGGAAAATGTCAAAAGTTTCATTCTTTCGTACATTTTTTACCTTAACTTGAATTGTTTCCAACTTCGTTTAATGAACAAGCATTGATTGCTTTCTTCAATGTACTTGTGTTCGAGTAATCGCTTGGCCCAGTTGGACCGTAAAATATTAATTCAGGAATTTGGCCGCCTTGAACTCCAGTTCCGTTCGTTGATTCCGAAGAGCATTGAAAGTTGAATGTTACACTGCCCATGCACACTTCCGTCATGCCTTCCTGTCCAAAGAAGCTTAATTCACTTCCGTCTAAGATAACACTCGCAGTGTAGAAGCATTCAGGTTCAACCTGAATTGGATGCTCAAAGAACACATGAAATGTGTTTGACGATCCATCTGAGAAGAATTTTGTGTTACTTTCAGCGAGTGTTCTTCCAAGTCGTTTGAGTTCAATTTTTGTGTTATAATCAGCAGCGCCTGTTGATGAACCATACAATCCAAAGCCCACAATAAAAATTCTCTTATCGACACTGAATTGAATTGAGTCACAACGTCCACGATATCGCCATTGATTACTTCGATAAGCACAAGAAAGGAAGCGATGACAGATTTGAGCTTTCAATCCATTTCGGGGTTTTGTTATGAAGTTTAAAATTGGTTTAGTCTTCGCGGTAAAATGCAAGAAAATGTCGATAGTCTCCTGTTGAGTCAAAATGCCTAATTGTGCAACATGATTTGCAAACTGTTCGAGTGTCATTGTTGGAATACGAATGAGAAAAAGTGCATGGCCGAGAATTTGTCTTTTATTTTGTGGCGTTGGTTCAATATCAGACTTGACACAAGCATTATGTGCCCATGTGAGTGCAGCTTCAAAAAGATTTATTTCTTTACAATTCAACGTTTCGCGTCCGAGTATTGTTTCAAAAGTTTTTATGTCAATATCAACAAATCCTTCCGATTTGATTGCCATTTCAGCCTGAAATTAAATTAATTCAATAAGAATTTTATTAATTTTCTTTTAAAAATGTTACCTGAGCATCTAAAACCTCCCAACATCGTTGCATCAGCTCAGGCTCTTCAAACAATCTTGACTGACTCAACAGGAGACAAGCGTTTTTTGCCGTCAAACTTGTCTCGAGAAAATTCACACAAGCACGACACAAATGTGGAACAATATATTTTTTGGCAACATAAAGTGTCGCTAACACATTATCAGCTTCCAGTTGTATCTCATCACAATACAAATATTTAAGCATTGTTAGAAATGCTGAAGGTTCCACATCAGGTACAGAAATTTCCGATTTGTTCTCAGCAAGTCCACCGAAAAACATTGCATAGAAAACAGAAGATCCAGTTGCAAGCACATATTTATGTGCTGGAATTGTTTGAACGTGCTCTAAAGTAACAAATTTAATTTAATTTAGAACCAGAATTGAAATTTGTGTAACTTACCATCACATCCCACGATAAATTTAATATCTGCCATCAATTCATTGTTAAACATCGCAGCATTTCGTTCTCTCACGGTTGCTTTTGTTGCTTGCCAATTTGGATCTGTTGTTGGGTCTTCAATCTCATGATTAGTGTTGATATTAACTGATAGTTGGGATGGTGACTGTATGCAAAATGATGTAGAGCTTTGACCACTCGGTGACGCTAAAGGCGAGCTGGGAATACTTGATGGTTGTGTGATTAACACGCTTTCGCGCTGATTAAGCAATGCATTGTTGTGTGGTGGTGACATTAGTACTTCATTATTAACTGTCAAGTAGAATAAACACTTTTTAATTCCTCATTCTTCAATTAATTTATTTTTAGTCTTCTTGTGTGGTGGAACTTTATAAAAAAAAATATTTTTTTCTATTTTCCCTTAAAATTTCTCACCGTTGATCCAATGCGTTTGCGAAAAGGACATATTTGTTGGTTCAGAATTACGTTTCATTTGTGCTATTTTCGAATAAAGATTTGACATTGCCATTATTTATTAAACGAAAATATTAAATTCGTTGTCCATTTTTTTTGCACACACAACTCGACAATACAAGGAGAAAAATCAATAAATAGCGAATTCGGCGAATTGGGAGATGAAAATTTATTTGAATAATTCTACGCGGGAAAAATTCAACTGAAAACAGTCGGCATGTGATTTGCAAGTTTCAACGGTCAAGACGGAATTTTCTTACGAAGCAATTTACCTGCACGCGAATTTCCTCGAACTGACATTGTTCGAGTTTCAATGTTGCTGTCGTCATAGTTAAAATTCATGTTAATTATCTGATTTAAAATATTCATATGTGGATCGTGATTGTTGTTTTCGTTTCGTATTCCGTTTGCTTGATCGCTTTCAATTGCCACGTACTGTTGATTTTCATACGGAACTTCTTCCTCTTTTGGTGTTAGAATTTCGTCAATCACAGCAACACCACTTTCAATCGATCTCAAATTATCTTGTAAATTTTCATTCACTTTCGAATACCATTCGCCCGACTGTGAAATAATCCAATGTAAAATGTGATAACCAACGTGATCACTCAATGGGTCCACAGTTACGTTAACCATTGCGAAATAACTCTCATCTGTATGACTGCTACAATTTTCTTTGATATTTAATTTAATAACAGCCCAAAAATAAATGAATCAAGCTTTCACTTTAATAATCTTAATGGCTTCCCATGAAAGGTCAATTTGTCTTCTTTTCTAACTATCATCAACCAACAGCATTAAGTTAAATCAGTATCGTTACTCGCTAATGTAAATATCCGAAAAAAAAAATCACAGCCCCACTTTTTTGTTTTATTTATTTTTTTGATAATGCTTAAAAACACGAACTAAGCGAAACACAACACGTCCGTTCAATTGTAGTGTCCGAATGAAAATAACTACAGACGGTCACAGACAGAATATCATTACTTAACAACGAGGCCGTAATATTTATTGACGATGTATGCAACAAAAGCAACAGTAAAGCGTGAGAGAGAGTAGAAATTTTTTTTGTTATAGTACAGATTTTATGATCACAAACAGGTACCGGCATAAGATTGACATTGTGTAGTAGCAACGAACGAGAAATATTTTAATGTTTCATTAGATTATGAGAAAACAACTTGATTCAATTCCCCTAATAGAATTTAATATTTTAAGATATCAACACAAGCACTTGTGAAGATATCAAAGTTTAAAACTTTTATAACATCTTCGTACGTAGTTTTAACTGATTTTAAAAGATTTCATGAGTTACGATGAATGGACAAACAAAGGTTAATAATCTTCTTATATCATTTATTTTATTGTTTTATTTTTATTGCGCCAATAATTTAATTTTGTACTAAGGTTAGCAACAATGAAATGATGAGCAAATGTTTGTAAACTTTTACAAAAATCTTTTTTTTTTCTTGTCACTTTGCTGTTAACAAAATTTCTCTTAATATAATTTCACTTTCACTTTTCCGTTGCTTTATTTATTTTACTTCTTTCCTCTATTGAGTTTCACGCCGAATTTTTAATGCTAGAGAAAGAAAGAAACAAAAAAGTTTTTTGTCTTTCAGAGGATTAAACAAACGCCTTCATTATACTTTGCTAAATATTTTATCGGTTAATGAATCGATATTAAGAATGGATATGTGCTATTCAAACCTTGTCTCCAAAATGCCTTGATCTAACTTGAGCTCACAAAGCAAGCATTCAAGGAAATGAAATTAAAATTCACCTGTCATTTGCATTAATTGAAATTGTCGCTTTTATTTTTTTGTTGATGTTTAACTGCGTAAATATTTACGTTTCAGATCCATGTATCTATATAATGCGATTTGCAAATCGTCTGGAATTTGGAGAGAAGACTCATGAAGTGTCGATGACAGCACAGCGCCTTGTGCAACGAATGAAGAAAGATTCTATTCACTCAGGTCGAAGGCCATCAGGATTGTGCGGTGCAGCATTATTACTCGCAGCTCGAATGCATGATTTCAGTCGTAAACCTAATGACATAGTACGCGTTGTTAAAATTCATGAATCAACACTTCGAAAACGTTTATTGGAGTTTGGAGAAACGCCAAGCAGTGCACTTACAATTGACGAATTTATGTCAATTGACTTGGAAGCCGAACAAGGTAAATTTAACTTTAATAAGTTGTCCTTTAAAGTTGTAAATATTTTATCGTTTAAATTATAGAACCGCCATCGTTTAAAGCAGCAAGACGAAAAGACAAAGACAGATTGCAAAGGGTAAGAAAAACAAAAAGAACACGAGATTGCTTATTGACGTAGATTGTCATTATATTAATTATTGAAAAATTCTAAAACATTGACAGCTTTGTGATGAAAACGAGTTTACATCGCTTCAGATTGAGATAGATGCTGCTTTAGAGCGAGATTTGAAAAAAAGTCGAAAGCGAAAACTTCCTGGTGTACCCACAGCAGCTGTCGAAGAGTTCGATGAAACAACAGAGACTGATAAATTTATCGTTGCGTCAATCGATAATGTAATAAAAGAAGTTTTGACGGTAGACGACGACGCGAAAGTGAAGAAAGCGGAAACGAACGTCAAGGCCGAGTTTAAACCGGTTGTTGCTCCATCACTCGGATTAAAACCTGATCTGTTAGCATTATGCACTGTTAGCGAGAAAGAGCAAGCGGACTTGTCCATGAATAAAAATGCATCGGAAGTAATTGATGACCTGAATCTCGAAGATCTCGATGATGATGAGATCGACGGTTACATACTTACGGAAAGTGAAGCAATTCTTAAAGATCGATTATGGAATCAAATGAACGCTGAGTATTTGAAGATAGCTAAAGAGCGTGAAGAGCGTGCGGCAAGAGAAAGGGAAGAAGGGAAACCGGAGAAGAAGAAGCGAAGACCGAAGAAGAAACCGATCGGTCCATCAAGTACAGCACTTGACGCGATACAAAAAGTATTGCAAGAGAAGAAGATTTCTTCGAAAATCAATTACGACATTTTGAAGTCACTCACAGCTTCGACACATGAGAAAGAAGAAAATGACACGAAACCTGAACTCCCTGAAGTTGTTGATGAAACTTCATTACCAAGACCAGGAACATCGCGAAAAACTTATTTCAATTTGAGCAACAATCGACGTTCTAAAGTTCCCCAAATGGGCTTCCCAATGGCATCAGCAAATGAAGACGATCCAAAAGATCAGATTACAACAGATAATGGTTTGTTGATTTACTTGCTTTTATGCTTTTTCTTTCTTTATTTTTTTTGCCGTAATATTTACAGAAGACATTGCCGACATCGACGGAGAAGAAGCCTTGGATATTGAAGATGCTATCGAACAAGAACCAACTGAATCTGATCGTCTGGGTGATATTTTAAATCAAGGGGATGCCGATGAATATTCAGGACCCGAGGAATACTTCTAATTAATGTTTAGAATAATTTTTTGCAGCAATTTGCTATTTAAATTTTCATTCATTTGATTATTCATTCATTCATTCATTTGTGCATTAAAAACAATAAATTTTATAATAAAAAAAATTATTGCTAACTAGTTCGAATTTATTCAAAACAAAAATTTTATTTCAAAATAATTTCTGTGGTAAAGTCTGTGACGTCATAAGGAGAAGTGTGTGGAAAGAGAAATTGGTCGAGTCAGAGTTAACATGTTCGTACAAGTTTAAACGAATAGAACGAACTGAACATAAAATTGTCGGATATTTCTTGTGTGCAATGCTAAAAATCTTTATTTTACAAAGATACATCGTTGTAATAAGATCATAATTTTGAAGTGCAAGAGTTTTGATAAATTTATAATAAATGAACGAATATAAATTCAAAAGACCTATTTTAATGTGTGAATATAAATTGATGCAAGCTACCGTAGCAGAAGTGAAGTCATCAATTTCGCATTTGAACTGGCCAAAAAAGCGGAAGAAGTGAGTCGTAAAATCCCCTGTATAAACCTACATAAATTTACGTAAATAAAGCAACACTTTTTAAAACAGAACTTTAATTCGTGTAATGTTTCTTGTGCAATATAAAAATCATAATAATAAACCACCATAAATATAAAACATTGTGAAAATTTTAACGGTATTTTTGAAAATAAAAATTCGAGGTACGGATAATGTAAAGTCATACAATCGTGCGGAATAAACTTTCCATGTGGGTCTATTGCGCAGTGACTTTTCAAAGACTCAATTCGAATTGCTATTCCGAACGTATTTTTGTTACGTTACTTACAAAACACATGAAAGCAAGATATTTTTTTTCGAGTTTAATTTTTAACATACAAAAAATAACTGCAGTGAAACTAAAAGAGATCGATAACTAATTGAATAACTGAAGGAAGATGCAATACTGTGATCCAACAGTGTACAATTTTGCTAGCTAGAGAGACCATTTCGATGTAGAAAAATACAAACTTTTCGATTTTTCCTCAAAAGTGAATGTAGCAGCAATTCTTTTTGTGTTTGTGAACGTAAATTTAAGAAGTCAATCAATAGTTGCTTCATAAAAGAAAAAAAGAGTAAAAAATCGAAAGAAGAATAGAGAAGAATAGTTTCTAATGGTTAAACCATAATAATCGAGAAGCTTAAAAAAAGTGAATAAAAATTTATGCATAAAACAAGAAAGAGAAGATTCATTTTGTGCAGCCCAGAAAACAAAAATCTTAGAAAATAGGATCTGTTAAGGATTTAATTGAATCTCAATCATCTGGCGAGATGGTGAAGAGGTAAAATAGTAATGTTAGAGTGGAAAATTTTCTATTTTAGTGTCGCCTTTGTGTCAACTTTACAATCTCATCTGATTGTATAAACAAAGGGCTTCATCATGGAAAAAAAGAATGAAAAACTCAATTATCGATCCGTTTCAATTCATCAATTCTCTCGCGACCTTTTATTTCTTCTCACTCAGCAATCAATAAGAAGGTCTCGTCATGTCTAATGAGAAAAACATTAACGTTTAATGCGAAAATAATGCAATTTCATTGACGGGAGGTGCAAGCTTATTTCAAATAAAGTGAGCTTTATAACAAACTGCGTTGGGATTCATTCGTTCTTGTCTACATACTTATTTTGTTTCTTTCTTCTTATTCTTCGCCTCCACTTCTCTTCGTGTGTTAGTTAAGCGAAAAGTTTTTGCGCAAATTGTTTACGTGCGGGCATCGAGGAGGGAAGAAAAAATAAATAAATATGCCAACAACAAAACATAAAAAAAATTGAATTTCTGTTTCTAAAAGACCGAGTGAGACCTTTTCTGCAAAGAAGCATGACTTAAAAGCAAAACAAGTGTAGAGAGAGTGAGCAAGAAGTGACAGAGATGGAAAGTATTTTAGAGAAAAGAAACATAAAACGATTCCGAGTTCGGTTTTTTTCTTTTCTTTTCCTGCTTTGAGAACAATGTTTATGTTCCAGCTGTTTTCTATACACACTTCTGAGGAACATTTGTTGTATAGTTGTGTGCGCATTGCATCATAGCATTTTTATTTCTTCTTTAATATCAACTTTTCTCTTCAATTCCTCGAGACATTTCTTGAAAGGTCTCGAATAACATTCATTGATGATTGTTCAATTAACTAAATGAATGAATGGATTTGTTTGAATAATATCTATCGATGTATCGATTGATTTAGAACGGATGGAAGGGAATCACCAATTCTTGCCGAATCGGATGCCGATGGACACAGTGATAAACCTAGAGCTAAATATGGAGAATTAGTTATTTTAGGGTAAGCAATAACAAGTTCTCAATCCCATTTAAGCTAATTAATTACATGTTTTTTTAATTTAATTTACTTTATAAATGCTTCGTTTAGATACAACGGATTTCTTCCACAAGGTGACAGAGGTCGACGACGCTCCAAGTTTGTGTTAAGCAAACGTCTCGAGCATAATGGTGTCAAGCGTTCTAAACATTACATAGTACAATCACCTGAAACATCACATGCTATATTAGATACTTCACAACATTTAATTTCATATACTTTATCGAGAAATCAAGCTGTAATAGTTGAGTTTCAGGAGGATGAGAGCACCGATATGTTTCAGGTAAAATGATGAAAGATTTTCACTCAAACTCGTCTGACAAATGAGAAGATTATTTACTTTATGTTTATCACATATAAAATTATCATATTTTTTAGGTCGGTCGTTCATCTGAATCTCCAATTGACTTTGTAGTTATGGACACTTTGCCTGGTGATAAGAAAGACTCAAAAGTGATGCAGAGTACAATATCACGGTTCGCATGTCGAATTCTCGTTGATCGAAGTGAACCTCGAGCAAGAATCTTTGCTGCTGGTTTTGATTCAAGTCGTAATATATTTTTAGGGGTGAGTAAATATGACCGTCGAATCCCTGACAAAGTCGAAATCATTGACAGTGAAACTTTTTCTTTCGTTTCGTTACGTTTCGTTCGGTGGCTATGGTTCTCCCCTTTCCTCGTTTCTTTTCTTTTTCTTTTTTTTTCAATAAACCGTTCATTCGAAGAATTTATAATGAGTAAAAAAGAAGGAAAATTTGTGATTAACATTTTTACGCTTCAACGACTTCAATCACATTCTTTTTCTTCTCCTTCTTAGAAGTATTTATTCAATGTTTCTTTTATGAGCTTAAATTGCGAATGATGGAAACATTCATGAGTAAGGTTTGATGAGTGAAAAAGTTTTTAATGTTTCATTAAAAAGTTAATGAAGAGAAGTTATCCATTGATTTATTATTCAAATTAATTATCAAGTTGCTTCGTAACTTTCAAACCCTTCCAAATACAGTCAAAGCTCTATTTAAGCACGTCCATTTAAGGGATGCGTGATTTACTTCATTCCGATGTCGAATACAATTTTGTTCAGTCAGCTGAATTCTCCTACACACTTTTTATAAGAAAAACCAAAATTATATTCAAATTATCTTTTTAGAGAGCTTCGACTGTTCCAAGAAACACTTTACCTCTCTCTCTCTCTCTTTCTTTATATTTCTTTGCTTAAGTAAATCCCTTGTTTCTCAATATTAAAAGGCAAGCAGCGGTACAATGTAAACATGCCAAAGGGACTGAATAGCAAGAAAAAAAAAACAGTCCACCCCCACAACAGGAATGTTTCTACAATATTTCTCGTGCTCATTATGCGTTAAAAATTTTGACATTTTTATGGTTTCTTTGCGGTTGTTTTTATGTCGCTATCAACTAATTACTCGAATGGAAATTGCTTTCGCTTGGATTTCCATGAGCATCTTCAGCTAGATAAACGAAATTGACATTAACGTGTTGCGCAAGCGTTGTTTGTGACAAAGCAAAGTTTCAAAACGAAGGATAGAAGAAAAGATGTGAAAAATCAACAAATCTTTAAGCAACAATTTTTATTAGATCGTTTTCACCGCCTCAAGACGTATTATAGTGAAAATTGTTTTCTCCTTCCTTTTACTGCTTCTTAACTTCCTTTTATTTCATTTCGTGTTTGGCCTTCTTATTATTATTAAGCCGCTCTCTCGCTCCACTCATTCATAAATTTTCTGCAGCATTAACCTGAGGGGAAATCTGTCGTATGTCCTATTTATGTCGTCTTAGACTGAATGTTATTTTTTTTCTTTTCTTCATCTTTATGCAATCGCTTAACTTGACCTTTTTTTCTTATTTTCTCTCCCCTTTTTTTATGATTGTCCAGGAAAAAGCAACAAAGTGGCAGGACAATGTTGAAATGGACGGGGTGACGACTAACGGTGTTCTTATAATGCATCCAAAAGGAAAGTTTTGTGGTGGAAATGCGAAATGTGGCTTATGGCGCGAGACATCATTAGGTGGTGATGTGTTCAGCTTAAGAGAATCAAGATCAGCACAGCAAAAGGGTCAACCAGTAAGTAGACCGGATAGGAAGAAATTTTCACATCTGATTTATCGATTGCTGTCTTGTTTCGTTACAGATTAAGGAAGAGTCGAATGTGTTACAAGATGGAACGTTAATTGATTTATGTGGAGCAACTTTACTATGGCGGTCAGCAGAAGGACTTCTTAATTCCCCGGTAAGTTGTGACACGAGCCTAGAATAACATTTTCACCCTCTTTTATGTTTTATTTTTTTGATTCATCGCTCGTGACATTTTCAATGCTTTTATCTTTACAGACGAAACGTGATTTAGAGAAGCTGGTTGATGAAATCAATGCTGGACGTCCACAATGTCCTGTTGGCCTCAACACATTAGTTATTCCTCGTAAAGCAGCGACTCTTAGCGAGCAAGTTGATCAGCCATACGTCTATCTTAATTGTGGTCACGTTCAAGGTAACATTTCATTCTGTTTTTTTATTCTTCTTTGCTTTGACAACGTCCACGCTGCGGGACCCCAAAGCAGATTATTTTTAATTAAAATTTGTGATTTTTGATGTCATAAAATATGATACAGTCAAATCTCTTTATATCAGAGCTTAAATTATGACGTAATTAAAAATTAAAGTTTACTTTATTATTACATGAACAAAAACCTTTTAAATCTCTGTCAAATTTTAAATTTTTAAAGACCTTTATTGGTATTAGGAGTTTAGACTGTAAAGAAGATAAAAAAAGACAAAATTATGTTTCTCTTCCAGGTCATCACGATTGGGGACAAGACAAAGCCTCAGGAGCTCGACGGTGTCCAATGTGCTTAGAGTTAGGACCGGTGGTGACGCTTTGCATGGGTATTGAGCCAGCTTTCTATGTCGATTCGGGGCCGCCTACCTACGCTTTCAATCCCTGTGGACACATGGCAACCGAGAAAACCGTAAAGTAAGATAAAGAAAAAGATTTGCGGAGTTAAGCTTTCCTAACATTTTTCGTCTTTTTTTTGTGATGAATTTTTAATGACACCGTTGTTATGAATCTCCCGTTTATTGTAGATATTGGGCTAACGTTGATATTCCCCATGGCACAAACGGATTTCAAGCTGTATGCCCATTCTGTGCGACGCCCTTAAACGGAGTTCCAGGCTACGTGAGGTTGATTTTTCAAGACAATTTAGATTAATTTTTTTTCTTCTGCTCTTTCTCTCTCTCACTCTCCATCCATATTCAATTTTCACGAGTTAAACATTTTTTTCTCACGTTATATTATGATAATTTTCCTGACAACTTTATAGAATTTCGAATATTTTTTTCTTGTGTTTTGTTCCTTTGGGATTTATTAAGTGAATAAAAGAATGAATGAATTATTTGTACATCCAGATATTTCTAATGATTGGCACCACTCAGTGATTTTGATTTCTTTTTTCCTGAGCTTTAAGAATGAAAACAACAAACAAAACTAATGAATGTGCTTTAATAACGCAAAAATGATAAAATGAAATATGAAGAAAAAAACTTTAAGATGATTAATCGTAGTTTGTAAGTAAGTTTACGATCGAACGTGAGAGAGGAGGGAAAATTATGTGAATCCTAGTTTCAAATATAAATAAAAAGAGGAAGGTAAGAAAAACAAGAAACATTTAAAAAAATGAAAATTTTGTGCGCAATGAAAAATCATTTTGGTTGATGATTAAAATAATTTTATTTTTCTTTCAACTTGTGTTGAAAATAGACATTAAAGGAAAATTAAATCAAATAGAACCTTTAGGGATATTTTATGATGAACGAATTGTAATTAGTTTTTCTTTTCTTATTTGTGGTTTAAAAATTCTTGAAAGTCGTCATTGGAGAATGATAAATTTAAAAATGTAAAGAAAAATCTTCTTTGGCTTTTTACGACTACAAAGAGACACAAAACATGAATTTATAATCTCTGACGTTTCGAAGGAGCCATTAAAGATTAAAAGTGATTTAATAGAAAACTTTTTCCTAGAATTTAAATAATTGTCACGCTAAATCACACATACACACACACGTACACATAAACATATTACACATTGAGACTTTATTTTCCAATAAATGGACATGTAACCAAAAAAAGAAATTACTGTAAAAGAAAGAAGAAAAAATATTAAAAGTTTTGTTTCTTCTTTGTTGTTTCTTCTAACATTAATTTTCAATATTATAAAAGAAGATTGTTTCGTGAAAAAGCTTTGAATTATGAGGACGAAATAATAATAAAAAAGAGAAAACAGAAATAAAGTATTTTATGTTGTATTGAATTTAATTTCATGTTGTTTCGATTTTTTATTTCGTAATTTTTTTCCAGCATTTTTTGCAACGTGATGCTTTTAACAAATTATTAAGAAAAGAGACAAATTAAGGTCAATGGTGCATTCATGTGACAGTGAACTTTTTTAATAAACGAACAAAGGGTAAATGAGATTTTTTCCCAACAGAAACATCTTTCAATAAGAAAAGATTACTTTCCAAACTTTTATTTACAGTGAAAGCTCTTCGTGGCATAACAAAAAGAACTTAATTTTGGCTGTCTAATATGAATTGTTTCAATTAAATTCAGACAATTAATCATAGACAGTGTAGCAATAAAAGACTCTCACTGTATAAAAAATTGTTTAAAGTTCCATTATCTACCAATTTCTTTTAACAGAAACCCGCGATTCCTCCCTTAAAAAATAATAACAAAAACAATCTTAAAACATCAAGATGATGACTTCATGAATTTTTATACAAACTTCAAAAACATTTTCATTTTTCTAAAGAAATGTTGATGCGCTGTTGAGTTGTTTATGAAAATGATTTCCTTCAACAATACTGACAAAATAAAAAGTAAAGTTCATGACACTTGCACACCAACTCAGATGCGCCACATGATCTCAGCAATTTATGCGCATTTTCTCAGACGACACACGATTAAATATTAATGAAAGCTAAGAAGAAATTTTTATTTTTTCCCATAAAACATCAAGGAATATTTGAGTAAAAAAATGAAGGGAAAAAAAACGCAAATGGCTAAAATGCAAATGATCTCATCTGGAATGAATTTTCTTTTAAGAAAGACTTGGGGATAAGAAGCGTAAATAAAAATTCTTGGCAATTAACAAGACAAGAGGAGAATAAATTTGTTTTTCCAGTTTTCACCCGCAGTGAATGCAGACCATTAGAAGGAATTTATTCACTTTTTTTACTCTTTTTCCAACTTTCAAAGTTTCATTTCCAACTCAAACTTAACAATAACCATAAAGCATAATTATCGGAAGATGCAAAATCATGCCACATTTATTTAATGTGTTTTTCAGTTTTTCTTCGAATGCTTAATAAATGTTCAAATTAAACAAGACGAGAAGTGAAATGTTCAGACAGTGAGTGCAATCAAGTCTGTCGTTGAATGTTAATGCAAGTAAAAAGATCTCATGAAGTTAATAAACATTTCATTTTTTTCTTCAAGCAAGTTTCACTAAATGAGCTTCCAGTTCGTCTTCTTTGATAAATAACTTACAATGCGGGATGTTAAACGAAGAAAAAAAAGGAAAATTGAAGAAAAAGTTTTCTTCAGTTAATAAGACGAGCTTTGCTTAAAAGTTTCATGCTTTGCGATCACATTCTATAACTCATATTATGTTCTTTGAACTTTTCTTTTTTACATATTTCATATTTTTAAAACATCATAATGAGCTTGATTTTCCTTTTCATCAACTAAGGGAAGAGAAAAAGAAGAACATAAAATATTTTTTAATCAAAGCAGAGAAACAACCGGCATGAACTGAAGAAGAAAAGCAGAAGTCTGCTGATGAAGGAAAAATTTAATTTTTCAATATGTTTTTCACTCTCGTTATGTCGTTTATAAGTTTCAAGTGGACGAGAGAATAATGATGACAGAATGTGTTGAAACTAATAATTTTCAATTTTTATTTCTCTCATCAGTCCATCGAATCAACTTCCAATAAGACAAATTATCGACTCCAATTTATAGAAGTTGAAGGAAGACAAAAATCTTTCTTCTATTTGGTGTTTTCGAAGATCAAGTTTTCACTTCGATAGAACAAACAAGAATAAAAAAAATAAAAAGATGTCTAAAGATAATAAATTTCCAGGAGGGAAAATTTTTGCTGAATTAATAAATTTCACATCGTAAATTCGATGCTGGTAGTAAAAGAGATTTATGAGAAAATTTCTTCATTTTTCACAGTTCGACACTGCACAGAGTTTTCATTAAAAGAAAGAAAAGATAGAAAGTTTTCCCTTTCTTAGAATCTGTCTTTACGTTATTCTTTTCAGCGACAAAAGGAATCATTTATAAATGATAAAAAAGGAAACTTTCTCCTTTAATCCTTATGGTTGAAATACTTTAGAGATAAACCGCAAGACGTTCATGTCGAAGAACGACGATAATGAAAAAGAAAACATGGGAAAACTGTCATCAAAGCTTCATTATTTTCACTCACTTTGCAGTAATAATTTTCTTCTGAATTGTGACAACAGCGAGAGAAAAAAAGAAAGAAAGAAATTGAGGGTGTGATGAAATGAAGGCAACACAAAAAAAAACAAGAAAGTACTTTTGTAAGCGAGCGATTATGATTCGAAGCAACATTAAGAACTTGTTCAATGAAATATTGATGGTTGAGAAATCAACGGGAAAGAAGAAGAAGAAGTCGAAGTAAAATGTGACGAGGGTGTGGGAAAACGGAACCAGAGCGAGAACAACGAAGGAAAAGCTCCAAACTAATTTGTAATTTCAAAAGTGTCGAACGAAACAAAACATTTTCTGACAAATCATTTTTCTTTTTGCTCATTCTTATTTTTATTCTTTCGTCTTTTCCTCCAATTCCACGTCGGACGACAAGTTGAGGAAAACTTTTTAATCTTTTTCAATTTTATCGTTTCTTCTTTACTCCCTTTTTAGCAGACAGACGTTTGAAACGAAGTGGACAATGGTCATGAAGTGAGTTATTTTTTTCTCATCTTTCTTAAATTGGAAGTCTTCTTTGAGTGAAGCTGGGGATCGCCATGGCAGATACGATGTTGTGAAGAAAACTTTATTTGTCAAGAAGTTTTCTCCTCTTTATCTTTTCTCTTTTTTTTGTTGCTTTCATTTGAAATGATTTGAGTGCCTTATAATTTAATTTTCATTTTCAATGAAACGAGGCATAGACTACAGGAGAAAGGAAATTTCATTTCCCCAATATTGAGCTACCATCGTCTTTCAAAACACTTGAACTATAGCGAAATTGTGAATGGTGAATGGGCTCGCTTTTCAGAAAAGTTTTTGAATGGAAAACTGCAAATTGAAATTACAAAGTAGAGAGAAAAACTGCGACAGAATTTTCCTTTAGAAATTAAAGAAAATAGAATTTGAGAAAGTGCTTTTGCTTCGTAAATAATTCTGATGTTGTTGTTCTTATTTCTTCATCAACTTTATGCCATTACCAGTAACTCGTTACTCAAGATTGCAATTATATTTATTTTCCCTAAGTTTTTTTTTCACTTTCATCGTCAAATCCTTTTTCCCAAAAGGAAATCGAAAAAATATGAAATTGATTTTTTGTTCGCTTGGTGCTTTATTATGTGCCACATGTGCTCGAAACATTCATACATTAACCAAACAGATTTCGTGTGTGTGTGTGTGTGTGCGTTGAGATGTGTATAGTAATATCTCCTACTCCCTTCTTCATCATTTCGTCGATGTTAGAGATTCAGCTACGGCGAAAAACTTTTTCTCTTGATTGCGAGAAATTATGTATATATGTTAGGTAGAAGTGCGGGGGTGGGAAAAAAACAGGCGACTGGCATGAAATCTGAGTTTGATTGAAATTGAACAAACATGAAAATGCTCTGTTATTTTCCACACAACAGCGCAACACATTCCAAAGAGTTCGCAAGGAAATAATTTTTCTTTTCTATTTCATTTTTGTTTCATTTTAAATGTCTCACAGGAATATCAATCCACCATTCGTCACTTGTTAGCAGGTTGTCAGTAATTTTTCTTCCGGATTAATGGAGTTTTGCGAAAAACGTAAGAGGAGAGAAATGAGTTAAGAACTTTCTCCCCGTAGAATTACATTTTCCTTCACTCATTCATTAGCAGCGATAATTGAAAATGAAAAGATGCAAGAATCTTTCCTGTTATGCTTTATGAAGATTAAAAGAGAAAAGTGTTTAAGTTTAGTCAACACTGTAACCATTTTAACCACACAAGTTTGATGATCAAAAAGTTTAACTGAATTTTAAACCACTTTTTCACTTTCTTCCAGAGATTTTCGTCTCAGTCTAACTAAGTTATCTGAATCACGAAATTAAAGTTAATTTTCTCTTGAATATTTATTAAATGCTTAAATACTTTGTCGACTGTTAATCTGTGAAAATTGAAATTAAAATTTGATATTCACTTCATTTCAATCAAGCTTTTCAACTTATTGGAGGAGTTTAATTGGCATGCTTGTCAGTTTTCGATCTTGAAAAGCCCAAATTAACAATTTTCTTCCCCTCCCCATTAATCACTTTGATAAAAATTTTGAGAAATGTAATTGTGAGATAGATTGGAGCTTTTAATTATGTTTGTCAGTCAACCGAACATTTCATTGACTTTATTAGAGGGTAAGTTGTGTTAGTGGTGGCTTTAGATTGGGGACGAGATTTCATATAGACAAAGTTAAACTTTTTTATTATTTTCTCTTACTCTGATGGTCCTTGACAAGTCAAGTCGCCTTTTTTCTTCCTTCATTTCGTTAACGAAATGGCAGCGACATGATTTTCCAGCCATACATATTACTATGCTTTCTTACTAGATATGTAGAGAAAAAGCGACTGATGCGGGTGAAATCAAAACGTCGTACATCTAAAAGTAAAGTGAAAATGACAGTTAGAGGTTTTCGATTCTCGTTTTCCTTTTCTTTTTCTCTTTTTCGGATTTCTGATTCCGGATGGCCTCTTCATTTCCCCAACAGAACTTTTCTTTTTCGGTCGCTTGCTATCACTCATTCTGATCTTCTAACATGAAATTTCTATTAATTAGTGAAACCATTTTTCTGATCCATTAATTGGGTGGCTGAAGAGCGTCGAGAAAAAGAACAAAAGGTCAATTTTCGTAACATTTCCAAGACTTCCTTGACACTTGAAATTATATCGGTTGGCTTTTGTTTTGCTCTATCGTGCACGTCTTCATTGTGTGATGTATGTTTTTGTCTTCTCTACTTTCCTCTATTGTGCTTGGAGCTTTACATCCCTTCCTATTACACCATACATATATATTCTAGTTTCCCTTGCTCTGTTTCACCCACAGGATTTTATATCTCGCTTTTTTTCCTTTCCCTTTGTTATTCTTCATGAAAATGAAAATAAAATAAACTAATTGCTTTACATTTGGGTCTGTTGATCGCGCTATTCCGGCTCGAAATCGCCGGAAATCAAATTGTAGAAATGATAAAAGTATTAACTAAAAAAGCCATTACTATGAAATATCTGTAGAAAAAATTGGAATGTTATGTGAAGCTTACTGAAAACACGAAACATCGCAGAGCTGAGTCGAGAAAATTGGACGATAAATTTTTACGATTTCGTCTTTGTTTTAAGTTAAAAAAAAAAGGAAGAAAAAAAAGCTACAGAAACGTAGGTGGGTGGCGGTTATGTTGAGCGAAAATCAATAGAAATGATAACAAGCATTTAAACTTGTTTGTTTCCCTTTTTTGCTTCCATTGTCATCGTTCTCCTGTTGCGGTTAATGTATTTAAGAATATATGAACATTAAAGGAAGCATAACATTGACGTTCTTTTAAGATTTGTGAATAAAAAAAATTCGAAAGCTTTCCACATTCAGATTCGAGTTTTGAAAAGAAAAAAGAATTATGGGAATATTTAAATTGAGCATTTATTATAGTTTGACTTCTAAAGGTATAAAATGATATAAAAATAAAATCGAGGATGAGTTTTAAAGTTCCGTTCGTCGATGATTTATTGTGCTTGTATTAAATTACATTTTTTATTCAAGAGCTTTGGAGCCTTGTGAGGGTTTAAAGAAAGCTTTTGGCATTATTTTTCATAACTTTGTTCTCGAGGAAAATCCCCAATTATATCAGTCAGCTGATGCTATTTTAAATATTTCTTTACTTTCTTCTTTACTCCGTCATTGTTATACTTTCATATTAAAAACTCATATAAGGTTTTTTTTTATTTCATTTTCCTTCAGTGAAAACAACATCAAAGAAAATTAAATTTTATTTTAATCAACTCACATCATTTAAAAACAATTCCTTGTAAATCGTAAGAGAATGAAAAAGCATTCAGGCAAAAACCGTGCCAGAAATAAACGACATTCGAAGCGAGGATGAAGGAAATATCATACAATATATATTATTATATGTGAACATTAATTCAAATAGAAAATCAGTTTTCCTCTTATTTTTCAATTTTATTTTCTCTCAACTCGCTTTATTCCTTTCGTTCATTCTCTTCATCTTTTATGCTCGAAATAACTGCACATATAGAATTTCTTCATAACGCTAACAATATAATATGTACATACAAGGAAAGGAAGAAGAGATTTCTCTTTGTTAAACTTCAGCACTTTCTTCACCGTAGGGCTTTATTCGTCGATTGTGTAAAAAGTTTCTATTCTCTTGACTTGAAATTTTTGCAAGAAGAAAATGAAAGAAAATGAAAAGTTTACATCAAGCATTCCCAGTTTGACAAGAAACTTTTAATAATTCATTCAGTTTCTCGGATAATTCATTGAAAATGATGATGAAGGTAATGTCACTGCTGTAAGCATTTCTAGCGTGAAAGTGATGGTTTGTGATGAGATTCTTCCAGGTGTTAAACTATGTTTAAGGAAAAAGAGTTGTGGATAAAATTGAATCGAGTTGGGTGATGTATTTACATACATCAAGAAGGAAATTTTTTATTTTTATTATTATTTATATTCTTAAAGAACTAACTAAACTAATGTTCGAGACAAGCAAAAAAACCAGAGAGAAGAAAAAAATCTTATTCCCTCATCATTTACAGACCGTAGTGAAGGGAAGAAAAAGAAGCATTCGCTTCACAAGTCATTTGATTGATTGACAGAGCCAGACTCAACTTATCAGGAAAATTTCCATCGAAGTCGTTTATTAGAATTTCAAATTTAACGCTTCTTCAACAACAGCAAACACTCAACGCGTTGATCTTGCTCATCCCTGTGTGTCAATCTACATTTTTCTTATTCAACAGCTAAATTAGACAGAAAATGTCTCGGTGATTTTAAAGGTGAGAAAAGCATTAAGTGGTAGGTGGAAGTCAAATTAAATTCAGAAAGTGAAAATCTTCATATATGACGAAAAATAAAGCAATGCAAACTCTCAGCTTGATATCATTCCAACTTTTAATGCTCTGTTTCTCATCGTCATAAAAAAAGTTATAAAAGTCTTCTTCATAGTCGTTCTTCTAACATCTTCACCGGTGGAGGTCTCGAGATGAAGAAATGTTTGAATAAATTTTCCCTCCAACTCTCTTTTTTGGCTCGCTTGAAGGAATTTATGGAAGCAATTTCCTCCGTTAGATGAATCAAAATCGTTTGTGTGTGAATGTAAAGTCTTCTAATAAAATCATCAGGCACGAATATTAAATAATTTATTTGATACTTTTACGATTACAAATTGATATTCATAATTTTCGTAATTGTGTGTTTTATAGCTCTTGTGGAATGGAAAGAATTCTTCTCGATTTTCCTTTTTCTCTTCTTTCTCCTTTCCTCCACTTGAATGTTCTCGTCGTTCCATCAAGCGTTCTACTTACATTAACCATAGCTTGTTTTTTTATTTGTGTAACCATTAGAACATTTCATTTGGAATTGCTTAATTAATTGCTTCATGACGTAATTAGAAGAGGGCACATGCTATGAGAAGATATTTTTTCCTGATATAATTGGGCGTTTCCACTTGACTGCTTTTTAAAGCATTAAAAAAATAGGAAAAATTAAAATTCATGTGAAATTTCTCACATTCTGAAGTGTTTTCTTTCCTTTCGTTCATTGCATGGAAAACTTGATGTTTGTAGTTTTCTCGTCATGAAATGCAAGGCAATTTAGATTTCATTATGACATTTTCTGCATTAAAAATGAGTAAAGTAAAGTTGACGAATCGTACTTATTGTGTTCTCGTGCTTTCATGAATTAATTTCTCGCAAGTTGAAACCTCTAGCGTTGCTAACATTGTTAAAAAGGGTGTCAAAAGACATCGACGAAGAGGCTTTCGAATGAAACGAAGAAGAGATAATTTTAAAAAGACGAAGTATTTATAATGATGTTGCTGATGTTGCACAAAAAAAAAGAGAGAGCATAGCAAAAGTTAACTCAGTCTATGCAATTAAAGTGTTATTTTATGCAAATATTTAACTTCTTTTTTAACTTTCTTTTTAAAAAGTAGGGAGACGATATGTATTTGCCATTATCTCCATTATGTTGTTAGGTTGTGCACGGGAAAGAAAGGAAAGGAAGGAGATGAGAGATATTGTTGAGAATTGAAGCAAAGTATAAAATTAAGTGCTCAAAGCTCACATGAGAGATAATTCAAGTATCCTTTGGGAAATATTTATTTCTTCCTTTTTTCTTTCTCTTGAATGATAGTGAAATCACTTTTTGCCCTCTGTACATCCGACATAGATGTGAAGGAGGGAAGAAGGATGTGTTTAGAAGGAAAACAATGACAATGACAATGACAGGAAAATTCGACGAGGGAAGGAAAATAATCTTTTCGTTTTCTTTCCCTTCATAGCATTGAATCTCGCATTGAACATGAAAATAAAATTAAAATGATGAAAATTTGAAAATATTCTATGCAAACCAAGGGAATTGCGATACGAGACGCGTCAATATCAAAATCATAAAGCGGAAGTTGACTGAACAGAAATATCTTTGAACTCTGTTGATTCCTAAAATTTTATTTCAAAATCAATTTCATATTTCATAGAAATGATTTTGAAAGTTTTTGACAAGCGTGGGAGTGTAATGTGTAAGATATCTAAATATGTGTGAATGCTTTTCAAGGAAGGTTTCTATCCAATGTTATTTTCCCATGTTAAATATTTAATATTATTATGCAAATATGAATATTCGCTGAAACTTAACAAATTGCATGGTAAGATGATAACGAATCGTCAGTCAATTATAGCTGTCTTAACTAAGGTTTGTTGTCTCATGATTCTATCTACAGCAAACACTGCATCCTTATCTTCTGTTTCTAAGCAGGTTAAAGTACCTCATTTATTTGCCTTCGAGACATTTTTCTTTCGCGCTTTCATGTATATCATGAAATTAAAATTCAACAGCGAGAAGAAGAGCTGATATGAGCTCGTCAAAAAGCTGAAACAAAATGAAAAATTGTTGAGATCTCGAAGAAGTTTCTCTTAAGTCTAAGGAAGTTTAAGTCACGGGGAAAAGTAGCAACAACAAACATTATTTTTCTTCTCATCCTTAAAAGGAAAAGTTAAGAAGATTAAACTTATTGTCACATCGTAAAGAATGTTCCTTAGTTGAATACATTCACATATATTTCCAGTGGTGAATTTCGTTCTTTTATTTTTGTTCGATGAGGTACAAACATTGAACCGATTAAATGCGGATTAATTCTTCACATGAATTCTGTCAAAGGCTGTCAGAGAATCCACAAAAATGTCAGCCATCTTTGGTTAATTTTTCCTTCTTAAAATCAAAATGAGGTCAATAATATCATTAAAGTTTCGTATCTCATTAAATAATGTTTCTGAATTGAAATTCTTTTAACTGACGGTTAATTTTGCAACTCAAGCTTTCATAAGTATCTTGAATTAATTTCTAACTTTCAAACATTTTAACGAAATTCTTTTAGACAGAAGAATGTTCCACAAGCGTTCAGGAGAAACTTTTCAGGGTGAATAGAATTTAAAGAAGGGGAGAGTTTCTTAAGGGTTACAACCTTTGTTATAAATAAATTCATGTCTCTCGGATAGAAGAAAGCTCCTGGTTATTTTAATCTGAGAAATGAAGTCAACCGGGAGCTCTTGGTTCGGCGCTACTGAGTGCCAGCGTACCTTGTAATAAAACGTGTATTCTTGAATTTCTTTTTGAACATATTTTCCGTGTCAAAACAATAATTTGTTTTGCTGTTATGAGATCGTATCAAAATGATTCGAGGACATTGGAAAGAGGGAAACATTGCCTGTATGATAGCAGAAATAAGTAAAAGCACGAAGCATCAGCTCATCTCTTGATATGACAAATGACGAACCATGCTTTTTGTATTTTTACATTCAAAGGGTTGTGCTTTTATTTATCATCGGAGAAAATGGCGACAAACGCTTTCTCGTTAGCTCAGGTGTGCGTTTCTTTGCCCCCTTCTGTTTTACTTTACGCTACAGTGAAACCATTCAATTTTGATCTCTATCCGCAGCATGATAATGCAGAGAAACTTTCTCCTTACTTTGGATAAGACATTTCTCATTTCTTTTCTTTGTGTTTGAGAGGTAAGAGGTTCGTCTTCCTTTCTGTGCTTTTTTCCTTCTCCCTTTTATCATTGCCGGTGTGCTTTTGTGCCTTGTCGTTTGAAACGCGAAAAAAATTAATAAATGAATTCAAGAATCAAAGAAAAGAACAGAGCAAAGCTTTTTCTGTTTTCATTTTTTTTCTTTTCTTCTTTGCTTATTGCACGGGGATAATGTTTACTGTCTCTCCTTTTTTATTCTTTTTAAGTCTTGTAGCTCGGGGAGGGGTTTAACGAACAAACAAAACATCAAGCGTTGGTGGCATGAGCCGAAATGAAAAGGAAGAACATTGAAAGCAGAAAAAAATTCATTTATTTTTAATTAAAAAAACGGTGAAATTTGTTTTGCTTCTGTCTTCTTTTCATACATTTTATTACTTTACATTCCACAGTTCCTTCCATCTTTAGCGCGCTCCATAGTTTAATTTATGAAAAAACATTAAAAATAATGAGCACCGTTATTAATTTTTGCTTTATGTTATTTTTCATTAACATCACTCGCTTTTCACTATGGAGTTCGCTTACTGTGCGCTCTGCTTCGACTCATCTTGCATCTTATAACGATTTTTCGCCCTCGAAGTGCACGATGGCGAGAGAATTATGGTGGGAATAACCAAACATGATCTCCGTCTGCCAACCGGTGTGCTCATACATCTTTCTTCATTGTAAATTTCAATTGGGAAAGTGTTCAACCTTCTCTCTTTTTTCCTTATGCCACCTTCATATAATTTCCCGTGGTGAGGGCGAAAGAAGAAATGTTCATTAAAATAAGAAACAATTAATTTTCACTAATAGTTTTTTCCCTCTTCCTTTTCTCCGCCACGTTTATCTTTTGTTTTTTTAGCGATGCTATTACTTTACTACTATGTAACATTTGTTTTAACGAGAATATAAAAGTTTCTGGCATTTCTTCTTAATGTAGGCTGAACTGATTGCGACAAGGTGGAATTTCGCATTGATTTAAGAACTCTTAGCTATCGTTTATAAATTAAGTAGATTTTTAAACAACATTCAATTTTGTGAACTGAAGTGCCATGTAATTAACCCAAAATTGAAAACTCGAAAACATAAACAAACACTTAACGACTTTAATGAATTCCACAGAGACGATAAATGTTCACGAGTGTCTAAACACGAAAATTTGTAGCTTCAAAAATGTCAGAAAAACGCTTTAAATTTAGATACTTGGAAGCTTCTTAGTGTCAGTCTATTAAATTTGAACTGTTTAAGATAACAATAATTCATAGATTAATTACAACATGATTTGGTAAATGAATTTCTATCACATCCTTTAAACGTGCAAATAATAATCTTTTCAACAAGACATAAACTATTGGAAGCATTCCAATTGAAATCATCATCAGTACAGCATTTTTTATCAGAAAAAAAGGCGACTTTCTCATTACCCGTCACCATAGAATGGGTTGGAACAAAGAAATTGTGAAAAATTTAAAAATGTGCTATTTGCTAATGAGCCTTCAGTTTCTCACATTTAATCTCATTGTGAACAGTGAATTTGCTTAAAGGATTAATATAATCTTGGAAATTGTAATTAATTTCTTTTCTCAGACTTTTTTATCATGTATTTATAACACTAAGGGTTGTCGATAGTTTTCCCAATGAAATTTAAAGTTTTCCTTAATGGCTTCCATAAGCACTAAAATGTATGTGTGGGTGGATGATGTAGGGTTTGGAAACTGAGTAAAAAAAATGAAAATATAATTAAACTTAATTAAATAGGAAGACATGAAAGCAATTTATCTTTTTCTATGCTTAAACTACTTTCTATGCTCATACATTGTGATTGTTTATGTAAAGTACGGTACATTCATGCATACATACAATCATCGACTATGGATGGTTTAATTTATTTAAACAAAAAGTTATAACGTTGTGAAAATAAATATTTTTTGTGTACCTAGGGGAAAGAAAACAAGCAAGCAAGTAAGTAAGAGGTTGTGAAAAATACAAGCATGTTATAAAATACCCAAATAATTTAACTTCAGTGAAATAAACTGCCGTCTGAGCAAAACAAGACTTGACACACACTGGCAACGAAGCAATTCTATCTTTGCTGAGAAATGTAATCTTATTAAAATACTCAATTACAAAGCTTTCCCTCTCTCTCATTTACTTTTTGCTTTTTAACTCAACTCCTTTCAGCTACTTTCTTTATAGATATGCGTATGTGATATTCAAATTTCAACTCCTTGCTTTCGTTACTTGGTTTTAAAGATTGCATGTTTTGTTCAAAGCTTCGAGAAGGGATTTGAATGAGTAAGAGTAAGAAAAGAGCTTTTCGAGTTTGAGTCTGCTTTGGTGTAAGAATAGATCATCATGCAGTCTTGTGTTGAAAGGAGGGTTTGAACAAGAAAATTATTAAAGTTGATGATTTAAAAACGCTTTTAACAGAAACATTGCAAAGTTAAGCAAAGTTTGTGAAACTTAATAAGACTCTGAAGCAGAAGTTCTCCGTGTGCAAAACAACTTTTTAATAAACTCAAATGAGAGTAAAGAAAATTTCGAGTTGCTGCAAGTTTTTTTTCTTGCAGCCACATTTGTTATCAAAGCATAAATTTTAGTGCAATTTGTTAGAAGAGTTAGGCTTTTATGGCTGTTAAAAATCGATTGCAATTTGTAAGTTACGTTCTAGAGATCATTTTGTCAAACTTTTTGCATAAATTTCATTCGTTTCGAGATCAATAACCAATTTCTCAACGAAAAACTTGTTGAGAAAAGAGAAAAATGACGCGTTATTTAAATAATCCCTAGCGACTCGACATTAAATTTATTCTCCATATTTCCATTCTCTTGGAGCATTTTTGAAAAGGAAACGGAGGCTTTCGCATTTTTTTTCCACGGTTTTAAAAGTGGTTTCAAAACACTCATGGCCGGAAGCTTAAACACAAAAAAATAAACAACACGGGAAATAGGCACAAAAACAACATGCTTCTCTTGTGTGCTTTTTATACGTTGTAAATAAAGTAAATTCAAATCTCTAATTTTCTCAAGAGCATGTTAATAAAAAAAGCAAGAATCTAATTTAAAATGAAAACCATACTGAGAGTAAAAGATTTCGAAAAATGTGCGTTGTAGATTTTCCCAATTAAGTAGAAAGGCATAAAGCGATATTATATACAACATGAGAATATGGATAAGATGGCAAAGATAGAACATGAGCAAATGAAAATTGCTGCAAGATGAAAGGAGTTTTAATTCAATTCCTTCTTGCTGTGTTTCACAGCAAACTTTTTTCTCCTCCTTCATTCAACCCTTTTTCTTTGCTGTTACTTTCTTTTGCTTCACTTATTTCTTCTTCCTGATCTAAGGAAATGTTTACAGAAAAATCCATTATATTATCACAGTCTGTGAGAGTGTGTTTTATGTTTTTAATTTTTTTTTTCTTCACTCACCTCCCCACACCAATCTCCAACACACATTTCGAGCAAAATGATCCATCTGCTTCTTCCACTCATTTACATTCGTTGATTTCTCACTGCTTTTGGCTTCTTTTTTTTTTCATTCTCCTTCTTATTTTTCTCGAGTTGCCGTTGATGTTGTTTTTTAAGCTTCGTTATGTGAAGAACCATGTTGATTTAAAAAGTTTTTTTATTGTTTTATTTTCAAGTGAAAAGCGAAAGCTTACACAGATAGAAGTGTACACAAAAAGAAAGCAAAGAATCTGTCGAAGAAAACAAAATACCAGGGAGGGCAGTAATGTAAAGTTTAAGAGAAAATAAACTTAAGAAAAGCCTTCAGGCGCATATTTGTGTCTTAGAGAGTCCGTTGAAGGGAAGTCAAGAGCACCCGTTTTATTAGAGGATCCTCAAGTGTCCCGTATTGTTCATCAAAATGTAAAGCATGAAAAATTTTCAACGACGCCGATGAATTGAGTTAATGGATAAAAAGCACTTCAGCATCTTTAAGATGAACACGATAACATGAACAACTACTACAACAATAGAAAAATAAATTTGCCTTTTTTTATTTGACAAAAAAAAAGTAGAAAAAGAAAAGGAAAAAAGCATCCTTTCGAACCGATGACTGTGGATATCTACACGCTGGCAAAAGGCATACAAAGGGCGACACAATGAACGAGAAACAGAAAAAATCCTTTGCCTATCTCTAGATATCTCGCAAAAGGTTTACATAAGTAGATGTTTTTAAAGAAAACTGAATTCACATCATACTTGTATTATTTATCCCCTTAACGTCGACTTTCTCTTCTAGGAGCTCATCGAGGTCAAGTCAGAAACAACTTCAACCTTCCATTAGCCGATTATCTTTGTCCGCACGTTTAGTCGAAGAACTTTTCAGAGATTTTTTTCTTCTTTTTTCTAATTGAAATTTAAAGAAGAACGGAGGAGAAAATTTTCCGTCAACTTTCAAGATGTAAAAATTCCAATTTATTGTCAAGATTTTCATCTTGAGAGATGAGATTTTGTCACTTTCTTTTACAATCATTTAAAAGGAAATTGCTACATAAAGCATTCTTATGACGGGTAAAGTGTTAAAAAAGAGTTTAAAAGTAAAGCTTACAATTGATTGAAGATTTCAATCCAAAAGAAAAACCAAACAGATGGAATGATTTGATACAGTTACGACTTTTCTTGTCGTTAACAATTGATATCTTTTGAATGTTTGAGAAACAGTTTAATGATCGAAATCTCAGTAGATTACTCCATCTTAGAAAAAGAAAGCGCGAACGATAAACAAAGTCATTCATTGAATGAAACCAGTGAAAAGCTTAAAAGTTTTCTTTTGTTTCAACTTTAAGCACATTACTATCATCCACTGAAGAAACTATCAAGAGAAACATTTAACTTTAACAATTTCTTTCCAAAGTTTTTCTTTTCCATTCACTCACTCATATAGGTTTGATTGACAATGTGAGCTTTAATAAGTATCTACCAAGATTTCAAATCAACATCAGAATAAGAAAAAGTTTTTTGAAGGGATTTTGCTTTAAGCTTCTGTATAAAAACTTTCAGATAACTTTTTTCTCAGTGGGTCTTTGATGACATATTTGTTAATTTTTTTCCAAAGTAACTTAGACGATTTTGAGCATTTCTCGAAGTCAAGTTTGAAATTTGCCTAACGGCATGAATCATTATCAAAATTGGAATAATTCACGAACTGGACCTAAATTAACAAAGCTTTGAAACCTGTCACTTCAATAAAAAGAATTTGTCCTTGGTCTGTCAAATACGAAAGTCCTTAATTCAATCTTGGTTTTTTTCGAACGACATCATCAAATCCAAATATAATGTATTTTACATGTACATACATATTTGAATAGCATTGAAATAGCAAAGGAATCAAGACAACACCGCTTTGAACCTTCGACATTCCTTTGTTCAACCGTAAAATTCAAATATTCTTGTGAACATAAAATCAATATTCGTGACGCTTTTTTGACCTTGTAAAGTAGATTGTAACAACGCAGATTCTGTGGTAGTCAAAATAGATTTTCATTCATTGAGATTCAGTGTAACAAGTAGAAAATTTCTTTGGAGAATGAAGGAGAATTTGGTTCTCAAATGAGTGAACGTAGCTCTTAAATGAATTACAAACCAAATAAAGAAATAATAATAATAATAATCTGTTGATGAAAATTTCCTTTGCTTAAAAATGCTTCAACTTTCACTTTAGAATAAGTAATCAAAATGGACAGCTGTTTCAAGTCTTACAGAATGTCACTTTGTCATTTTAAATTTTTGAGTGTTTTCACAAATGTTATGAAATAAATTAAAATAATAAAACACGACAAAAAGCAGACACAATGTCCTATCCCCTGACTTTCTCTCGAGTCTTCGCTTCTTTTTGCCAAAAATTATTAATGGAGTTCATTTGCAACGACTGTCGGGTGAAGCTTAGTTGAAATGTTTTGAATTCAATTAGCATCAAGACTGCTGTCTGTTTTATTAAAATTGTCTTTGAGTAAATAGGAATTATTAACGATAACTCAAGCATTAAAACTTCAAACAGTTTCCATAGCAGAGGAAATGAATAATTCTTGAATTAAAATATTACCAAAGCAACATTGATTACCGAAAAATTTAATTTTAGAAAGATAGATTTGTTCAATTAGGTTTAATGTAGGTTTTGTTTGCAATTTGCAATTACTTTAATTTTAATCAGAATTATGGGATGACGCAATAACTTGAGATTGTATTTACTTTTGATGCCATCAAGGATCTGTACGAAGGGATTTGAACGAATAGGAATATTCACTGTCATATCAAAGTCTTATTGTTGTTATTTATTTACGAGTATGTAAGTATTTAAATATCCGAAAGCGAATCCAAAACACAAATTTCCATTTTCATCATGCTGCTGGGCGAAACCGAATAAAGATGATTGTGACTTTGTAACCTATCAAGGGTTCTAAATTTCAACTAAATAAAACAGAAAGATATTAAATGCAAGGAAGCTTTTAAGCCTTGTCTTTGATTAAGCTATAAAATTCATTTGTAATGCTTAATGGGGTGAAGCAAAGTGTGAAGATAGCTTGTTGATTTAATAAAGTAAGAAGATGAAAGCCTATGCAGCTAAATAGAATATTCTGTGAAGTCTTTAATGTCAGTTTTGTAAGCTTTTGCAAATTTCCAAAGTGTTCAACTAGTTTGTCATTCATTAACTGATAATCTTTCATCTAAGTCCTTTGACTAGCTTTTGATGATATTTCTGAAGCATTATGTTGGGAATAATAAGAAGCAACAAAAATCTTAAGGCTATGAGAACATACAAAAAAAATCTTCTCAAGTTAATCGAATGACAAAAGGATGAGAAAGTTAACAAGACGAACTTCTTGAAGCACTCGATAGTTGAAAAACAAACTTAAATTTGACATCATCGACAAATCTTGTTTTAACAGTGACCTGCAGGGGGAGATTTTAGAATGAAAGCTTTTCCACATCATGTTTTTTTTGTTGAGCTTTAATCTTCTTGAATGACGACAGGATATTTTTTTCCTACTTCTTTCATTCTTTCTTCTTTTTCCTCTCGTTGTATTTGTATTTATAAAAGAAAAACTGTCCTCATGTTTTCATAAGAAACTAGTTTTCATCTGACATTAAATTTGCTTTGCCATGCCTTGTCGAAGAGAAGAGTGGGAGAAAGAAAAGTAGACATTCGAAAAGTATGTGTCAACATTTCTTTTTGACTTTCCACCCACACAAAACATTAAAAGGGCAACAAAGAACGGATGAATGACCACTTTTTGCATGGCGAACATTAGCAGTAAAAGGAGAGGGTTTAGCTGTTGGCAAAAGTTAAGAAGAAGGAGTTCTTTATAAAACCACTGCTTGTTTACGACAAAAAAAAGAAAGAATGAAAAAATAATCGAGTGAAAGAAAAACTTTTCACTAGCTTTTGTGTCGGACAAAATAGATTCGATTTGAGGGTCTCAACTTGATCGCAGAAGATGATTTTAAGACGATTCTTTCTTCTTTTTTAAAATAAAGAAAAAGCAAAGCTTCATCTAAAAGTGATGGAAAAAGTCTTTCGAGATAACAGCGTCTCGAATCTTTCGCTGCCACAACAACTGAGATAATCTTTGTCTTTGATCTTTTTGGAAACTTTTATAATTCGATGAAATGAGATGAGAAAGAAATTACGGATATAAATAAAAGGATCATTATGAAGCGAAAGAAAGAAAAACACTCGATGTTGATATTGTTGAACAACATGTTTAAGAGCATTTTAACTGGATAACTTCATTCGACGATAAGTTTATATTTTCTGGGAGGTGTTTAATGTTGAACCAATCGTTTATCGATTCTCTTCAGAAGCACTCCCAACTATTGATGATGTTTCAATATCTACAAAATCTTTATTTCATTGGCATCATCAGCAGATTGTTCGACATTTCTAACATTGAACAATAAGCAAGTAAATTGTGTTTCAACTAAAAGTAAAGTACACGAAAACTTTTCGCAATTTATTATAACAATACAAAAGGTTTGAATCAAAAAAAAAAATTCTTGGAAATATTTTAATGAAAACTCTTTATTATTTATTTCTTTAAAGAAAGGGAAAAAAAGATACGATCCGATTAAACACGAAATTTATAATCTTTTCTGTAGAGTTTTCATGTAAAATGAATGACCGGAATCAAATAATTTTTTTTTGTTGTTTTCGTTGTTGAAACTGGACAAAGGAAGTATTTTCCCCGGATTTAGATATCTTATGCTTTAGGCTTGCTTTGAAGCTCATTGAAGATAATGAAATCTTCAGTCCATTTTTAATGCCTTGATGTAATCTATTTTTTAGTATAAAAGAAATTCTTAAAAACATTTTCAAGATTTTGGCTCATGGAGCATTACAAAAGTTTCGTCCTTTGGCTATTCGTTGTTTCAACTTTGTATCTACATGTAATCCTATTGTAAAAACTCAGAACCGTAACTACTAAAGCATGAAGCGATTGCCAACATTATTTTTACTTTTCTCTCTTATTCTTAAAACCAAAAGTGCTTTCAAATAATCATAAAAATATATTTATTTTTGCAAGTTTTTCGTGCTTTCCGATTCATGTTGTGTAACGAGAAAATATTAACGCGATTAGTGTGATTACACATTCAATCTGTCTAGCGAATGATAAAACATGAACAGGAAATTAAACTTTGGAGAAGTAAGAACATTAACAATTATTGCCATCATTTTATTTTATTATCCCTCCTTCAAAGAAATTGGGTTTTGACTAAAAAGAAAATTCGTGCTTCAGAAGCGAAATTTGAGAAGGATGATGCGGTACTTTAACGCTTTTAATCCTCTGAAATAAAACTCTTCAGGGGTGGCAATCATTTGTAGAGGTCAACTTCGAAGAGTCGCGATCTAATCAAGCAACAATTTTTTTTTCGTTCTAATGACCCAAAATTTAAATTTCTTTTTCTTTTCATTTTCAGCTGCCTTCGCTTCCCGAGAAAACTTCACAGTCAAGTTAATTAAAAGGATTTTAATTTCATTAATCTGAAGGATATCGTGGCTTAGAACCAAGACCAATTATTTCTTAGGAACTTGATTTTTTTATGATGAATATTTTTACGGGTTATGAGCTGAGAAATGCAAAACCGATTTTCTTGAAACGAAATAAAAACTTTAATTTTACTTTTCCCATTTTTAGCATGATGAAAATATATTTGAGCGTCAATTGAGTTACTTTAAGCAATCTTTAAAGAACATTAGTTATCAAATTTGTATGTTCCTTTATAAGAAAAAATTGCGTTAAATTAAAAAGATTTTATGATTCTCTGTCATCATTCTTCTTGTTGACCTGAACCCCTCACAAAAACTTTGGACATAATTTTTCTTTTTGTCCCCGCAAACACTTATTGATGATACGTACTTGCTGTGTAGTGTATGTTGAAATGATAATAATGATGATGATGTCTGTGTAATAAGAGATTTTTTAAAGGGAAATTACATTAATAATTTTGTTCTCAGAACATGCCGATTATATCATTTTTCATGCTCTCTTTCATTATCTTTTTCAACTTCTCATCTGTAAAAAGAAATTTGTGAGATTTTTTCGCGTTCATGACGAAATTTCATAGACTTATGAAATCATCAATGATAAAATATTTGCACAAGAGAAAACATCAAATAGAATTGCTGTGCAGTTCTTATTCAATGAATAAGATAGATTTATTGTGCGCTTGATTATTGAGTAATATATTGACAAAGATACATGTCATATCTGATGTCTTTTAGAGAAATCTGGTCCATTTATATGTTTTAAATTGATGCGGGATTTGTAGATTCAGAAAAAGCAACTTGGTTTTGAAAAATGTTGATAACACTGTTGGTAATATTACTGAAATAATAGTAATAAGGTCCACTTTTATTAGTTGCTGACTCAGTTTCAGAAGCATTATCTTCTGGAAATTCCTCGGCAGTAGTTTCAACACTCCCTTCTTCTGGAATGTCAGCAGTTGATTCTTCCGAAGATTGAGGAGTGATAGATCTAAATTCTTCTGGTGTTTCTAAGGTTTCTTCAGGTGTTGGTTGTTCCCCTTGTGAACCTTCAGGTGTCTCTACTGAACTGTCTTCTGGAGTCTCTAATGAACTGTCTTCTGGTGTCTCTAATGAATTGTCTTCTGGTGTCTCCACTGAACTGTCTGTTGGAGTCTCCACTGAACTGTCTTCAGGTGTCTCTACTGAACTGTCTTCTGTGGTCTCAACTGAACTGTCTGTTGGAGTCTCCACTGAACTATCTTCTGGAGTCTCTAATGAACTGTCTTCAGGTGTCTCTACTGAACTGTCTTCTGGAGTCTCTAATGAACTGTCTTCTGAAGTCTCCACTGAACTCTCTTCAGGTGTCTCTACTGAACTGTCTTCTGGAGTCTCTAATGAACTGTCTTCTGGAGTCTCTAGTGAACTATCTTCTGGAGTCTCTAATGAACTGTCTTCAGGTGTTTCTACTGAACTGTCTTCAGGTGTTTCTGATGAACTGTTTTCAGGTGTTTCTGATGAACTGTCTTCAGGTGTTTCTGATGAACTGTCTTCAGGTGTTTCTGATGAACTGTCTTCAGGTGTTTCTGATGAACATTCTTCAGGAGTTTCTGAAGAACTGTC